TGAAATGTCACGTAAAGCAATGAGTAAAGGCAAAGTAATAATCCCCTGCTTTTTCAAATATTTTGTATCATTCCTATATATATATATTTTTTATGGGAGCCTGAGATACTGCTCTGCAGTGGAATGAATAACAAAGCATGGTTGGTTTTTTTTCTAAGTTTCAACAAAACGTTACAGAGTAATTTATTTTGAAAGTGCTTTGCATAGATTTAATGAAACAAAACCAAACAAATAASCAAATGAAACCAAACCAAACAAAGAAACATTTCAACTCCGGTGAAGTGCAGCAGGAAAATGCTTTTTGGGCCAAAATGTGTATTTCATCCCTTCCATGTTGGTCACCACACTGAAATCTGAAAGAAGTTAAGCATAAGTCAGCATAAACAGGTACACACCACACTTCACAAATGGCTGAAGCAAGATGCCTAGGTAATTCTCTTGTTACCTACCAATCAGCATTTATCATTGCTAGGAAGTGCAGAATCCAACCAAAAGGGGAAATTGCCTGACATCCCTTCCTGAATTCTCACAGAGTCTTATTTCAGAAGTAACACAGATCTCTACCCTGACCTTGCAGTCCTCGGGAAAACAAATCTCACAGATCTTGCCTGGCTTCTTAYCATGGATGTGGCAGAGWGAGTTTGCATTTTGCTTCATGCTTTGTTTGTTTGTTTGCTGGGTACCTAAATGTGCTCAATATCATTGCATGATAGTGGTCTTGTGCAGCTTTTGCTGATTTCTCATAGTTTTAGTAAGATGAGAATTAGACCTTTAAAAATTGTGAGTAACTGTGTCAAAAGTGTAAGTGGATCAGGGGCASTAAAAATGAAAAGTCAGAGGACTTGGAGAAAAGAGCAAGTGGGTATTATAAGGTTGTCTAAAAACCCTTAAAAACCCCAAAAGGCATGATATCAATCACGTGTGACCTTCAAAGTGACAAAGATTATAGATCATCTGAGATAAAAAAGAACTATTAAAGCTTGCTATATATTACTGTGGTCTGATTTATGATGAAAATTTACTCTTAATTGCAGCAGTAATGTTCATCTTTGTAATGCTGACTATATTTGTTTATTTTATTTCAGTGTTGATCCTATGTGAGGTAAATTTTTCTTTGTACATTCCAATAGATCAGTGCCATTGCAGGATKTTTGGGCTTATTTTTGTAATATGCCAGACTGTACTGTGTGTCTTCTATATAATTTTCATTGTTTGATGCAGGCAGTTCTTGTAACTGGGAGTGATCACCCACAGTGGTGCATTTAGCCCTCTGAGCAGTCGTGGCAATACAAGGAAAGGGCACGGTAGAAATGACACCAGTACATTTTATTTGTCTGAACAAACCTATCTTAATGAATTTATTGCATTGTTTGCCCATTCAAATACAGGATGAGAACTGTGAACCTAATGCAAACTAGATCCTGCTTGGTCCAAGTTAAACATGATGGGACCAAGGGCAGAACACGAGTCTGCCAGTTCCCTGGTCTTTGTGCTGCTCACTGGGCTGCTTTGTCACATCCCTTTAATTTGTGAGCCTTTGCTGGAACGGGAGGGCCTTTTAAAAAAACCTGTGACATTGCTGAAGCATCAACAACTTAGTGATTTGAGAGTTGAATTAACCTCAGAAATAAACAGTGTCATACTCCTTGTACAACTTGAAATATTGGCTAAGATAGCCTGAATTCCAGAATTGCATCACTGTTGTGTCTGTGCAGAATAGTTGGAGAACATGATCATTGAAACCTTTCCAGTTGCTTTGTTGTTGAACTAATGGCATTTGTGCAGCACCGAGGAGTCTTAGACATGGGCCAGAAAAATGTTCAAGAATACAGAAAGATAAATGCTGAGGTATTACAGCTTGGCACATAGAACAGGAAGGGATATGGGAGAATTAATTTTCTTGCATTAGCTTATTTGCTTTTGAATTATGAAGACATTTCTATATTGTCTGAAAACGGAATAGTAACAAATTATTGTGAGAACTGCTTATTTGTTCTTTTCATCTGAGATTATTTCTGATCTCATGTGGGTTTGGAAATGTTTGCGGAAGAAGAAAAGAATTCTTCCCAAGTGATGTGCTTTTTGTTTTCTTTGAATGTAGAGATTTTTTTCAGACTCACCACATTTGTAGTGAGTGTTTTTCAAAGAAAAAGTAGTAATGAATTTAGGAATGACCTGGCAAACTTGAAAGGCTAAAGGAAGTAACCCCAGGAGTATCCTGCTATCTCCTAATTTCTGTGATTATCCAGCATTAGGAGAACAGAAAATGGTGTCAAGGCAAGAATTTCTATATTCAGGGGTGATCTTTTTGAAAACAGGCAATGAATGGGAAGGACATCCTGGTGTCAGTGACCTACCATGGGATATGAACTACTGACCCTCTGCCCAACAAAGGGCACAGGGAGGGACATTTGGGGACACAGCAGGAGCTGAAGACCCCCAGACCTTTTCCTGTTTGGACTGTGAGGGGATGAAAGCCCAGGGGTTCCTTTGTTTGGAGTCCCTCCTTGGAGGTACCAGCTTGAGCTGTTATTCTGTTTTTGCACCAAGACGAAATTATTTTAAGGAGTGGGACATCTGAGACTGTTATGGGAACCTGGGGTGGAGCCTCTCTCACTGTGAGTGTGGGATGTGCAGYTGGGAASGGGCTTCTGTCCCAGCTTAGGTGATGGGAGTGTGACTGCCATCAGACAGGGAAGTTTCCTCAGCACTGAGATGGAGACCTTTGAAATGTGCTTTGGGAGGCTCCTCACATCTGTGAACGGTTGGAGTGTTAGCACTGATGAAGCTTAAATGGTGTTTGATTCTTTGTATTTTATKCTCCTCCTGCAAATGAAGTTACCCATGCATGCTACCTCAGCTGACTTATGCAGATAAGGTAGATTTGRCAGAGAAGTTCGTCCATATTTTAGGATATGACTGATTTAACTTGCTTTTAGTGTTTCACAGTGCTGAAGGAGCTCTTGAATTACTAATAAAAGCATTAYTATAAAGGCACAAACCTCAGACTTACCTTTTTTTGCAAAGTTCTGATAATTGCTGAGGTTGAGTATTTTAGCATTTTGCACAGTATGAGGTTCAAGATGCTTTTTTTATTGAAGAAATCTGTAAAATGACAAATCATAAAGCTTATGCACTGCAAACTTATAGTAAGAAACCAGTTGACATAATGCACACAGCGAAATTAAACAATGCATAAATATGGTAACCCCTGTGTTAAAAAAAAATCTTCTGTCCTTTTCCTTTTATAGAAGACATAATTATGGAAAATGCTTTACCATTCATTATTATTCCAGATTTTAATTTTGCTTTTTAATATTATTTGATACTGTTGTAGACATAGAAAGGATCCAGTGCTCAAATAAAAGGRGTGTTGCCTGGGATATCCCAAGAAATTGTGCTTCCAGCTAGAGACAGTGGGGATGCAGTGGAGTAAGGAGAGCAGGTCTTACTGTAACTCTCAGGATATACTGTAGTTGTGATTTGTGAGTCAACCCCACTCGTGGTCCCTGGGGCAGAGTATGATGATTTCATRAATAACAAAACCACAAGGAGAACCATRTGACTGTCCTTGCAAAACCTGCTGYCCAAAAGCMAAAAAGGGAAGAACCTTGTAAAACSRGCAGGGAAATGGCCTAAATGTGTAAATATTTCAGATCTGAGTTTTTAACATTTGTTTTCTTTAGTTAAAAGAAAACAAATATATGTGTGGTGGAGAGGTTGCATGCTGAAGGTTGTCTGACAGCGTAATTATTTCTAKAGTAGTGGTATTCAAATCAAAACCTGCCAAATCAAGTCTTGAAGAACTTGGCAGAGACAGCCAGAGCCTTCACCTTACAGGGCTTTAAAGACTATTTGGAGAATAAAGTATTAATTAGAAACTGTACAATCAGTACAGTTGTACAAACTGTACATCTTTTTGGAGTAGCCCATGATCCTGCTATGGAAGCAGTCAGTTTATTTTAAGTTGTAAGTAGTAGTTATTACCAACTAGGGAAAAAAAAACCAGTAATGGCTTTTATCTCCTGCTGTGGCCTAGGTACATGGTGCTGTTAGGAACATGTAATGCAGTCATTAATGAGCCAGCCTGTGGGTCTATTACAATAATTTTTGTACCAAATGCAGCACAGGTTTTCCTGCACAGGATGCCATAAAGCCAGCAAGAGATTTAATCAGGTATGTTAATGGATTCTGGGTATCTTCCTGGAATTGTCCTTTGCTGGTTTATCATTTTGGGGTCTTCCTTCAGCAGTGTATGTGTTCATTATTGGTACTGCTTTTTGTAATCTGGCAAACAGATAAATTTTGACATTAGATGCTTCTGGAAAAACTAATTTATCTAAGTAGATTGTAGCTGTTCAACTTGTACAGTCCAGCTGTCATGATGAGAGGGAGGAATGCTAATGCTGCTTGTAGTTATCTACAGGGTGGTACTGCTGATGTGCCAGCAAAGCAGTTCAGAGCAATACAGCTTCATTTTGGTCAAAACCAGCCAGATGAGCTCACTCCACTGATTAAATTGTTAGTGCCAACTCGCCCCATTTTCTGTGGCATTAAAGASATTGTTACAAAGAGCGTGTAAAGTCTCAGTTCCTCCCAAAGGTGCAGGAACTAACAAAAAGMAGCATCTTGGCTGATGGGTTGAAGCCTGTTTTGTGGGGAATCCTTGCTGGAAAGAAGGACTTGCTTGTCTCTCTTGACTCTGTGCTTCTCACATTTGCAGCAATTACTGCCTCAGTGCTGCCTGTCAGCTGCTCTAGTTTGACTCTCCGTTCTGCTTCGTGGGTTTCTGATGTGGGCCACTGCCACATGCAGTAATTCTCGTTGTTTTAGGTCTGTAATTACCGGGGTATTTGGCTTTTGCGTGGTCTGGACAGAAGGAAAGGTGGCTGACGCTGCTGCTCATTCCAGACAGGTCTGTAGATCAGAGATACGCTCGCAGCCGCCAGCCCCTCCTCCACTGGAGGTATCCAGCTGTATTTACATCCAGTGGCACAGGAACCTGGTGTGCCACGGACTGTTTTCCCAGTGCTCATTTGYAGGCTGTGGCCGGTGAATTAGCGCTGCTCCTGTTGCCGGTGTCCAATCGCAGAGTGTGGTGCCGCAGGCTGGCGCTGCCCTGCGCTCCCAGCGGGACTGGCACTCGCGGCTGGCTCAGGAGCACCGAGTGCTGCTGATGSTGGAGCCTAAAAGCTGAGTGGGTTTACAATGACTATGTCAGAACACGCGGCAGACTCAGCAGAGAGGTGAGTAGCAGCACACAGCATTTTCCATTCGGTTCAGAGGCAGTTCTGATCCTGCTGTTGGAAGCAGGAGGGAGTCTGCAGCCCACTGAAGCATGACTAATCAGTTTGCTAAAATKCTAAACACCCTCGAGTTTAAAGTATTTCTGCCCTATTGTTAACAGCRACGAACGATGGTTTGTAGCATTTATGTGAGGTGTGTGTTTTGTCCAGGTCTTCTTGACTTGGGAGCTACATCCTGTGGCAGGTTTCCTTGGAGCATCGGGGAAACGCACAGCTTGTGTTTCTGCTGCCGCTGTGTTAATTGTTATTCCAGAAAAGATGCCAWGTAATTATTGTATCTTATTTCTGCTTTGAGCTCCCACAGTGGTTTATTATTCTTTGTCATCTTTCTGTTTCAAAGGAATATTTTGAAAAGGTTTATTTGTTTTGAATGGGGTAATTCTCCTGCATGACAAGACATGAACAAACAAAAAAAACAGGTAAAATGTTAGTAGTCTAAATATTTTAAAACAGGTGAAGGTGTGTTTTATATAACATTATATATGGCATTTGCTTCAGACATAGACTTAAAAAAAAGGAAGGTAGGAGTTTTAATACAGCAAGCAATAATTGACCGAGTTTTAATTATTAAGTAGGGCTCAGAATAGTTAGGCRGACATGATACTGCATTTTATATGAGACGGATGCCAAGACTTGGTTAATCAATGCTTGCAAAGCACTTGGAGAGTGCTTGGGTGCAAAAGGATTTGCAGTGGATCTGAAGTTGTGATGACAACAGCCACTAAGAACAGTGTCACATAATGTTTCTCTCAAATTTACAGTCCCGTTTTTTATATGTATTATTATACTATTTATTTCTTTGCAGTCATTATTCCTAAAACCAAAACCAAACCACTGCTGCAGTGGGTGGTTATTACTGATGTTATCTGCTTGTGCTGTGCTTCYCTGCCTTTCCTTGAGATGTTATCGGGACTTTGCTTTCTGTTTTTCCTTCCAGCCTTCTGTGCCGTGCCATTTTTTAAGGAACTAACTCTGTGTCTAAGTCACAAGATAGATCACATTCGTTAGAGCTGTTCAGAGTCAGGAACATGATGAGGATTTGTTTGTATTTTGTTAGAGGATGTTTTGTACATGCTTGTATACAAGATATTAGTACAGTGTAGCTCTTTGATCATTAGCTGCAGATGTTTCAACTGTCCTRACACTGGCTAGATGACCTTAACTTCATTAGTGCAAGGCTTTATTGTTTCTTTTGTGGATTTTTTCTGTCCAGCAGTCCTGGTGGTGATGAACTTGGGCCAAACTAATTCAGCTGGTCTGTATTATCCTGTTGCCAGTAACCTAAAGACCAGCTGAGAACCCTTGTGACAGGTCAGGCTGACATCTGAATGTTGTAAAGGAGAAAAGTACAGCCAGAGGAAGTCACTGGGAGTCTTCTGATTTTGAGATGCACCAGCATTTTTTTTTTTTTCTTTGAGCACTTCTTGAGGACGGTAATGTTCCCAGGAACATGCACAATGAGAAATTTTAACCCACCTGTGAGTTTGTCGCGCTCTGTTGCTCAGGCACCACACTCAGCATGAGCTGAACTAAGACAGTTGTTCCAGCAGCAGGTGTAATATTCTGAAGCAGATTGCCAGTGTCTCATCCTTGAAGTGATAACATGATAATGATATCACCAGCCTGGAGTCTGGCAGCCTTACAATCAGATGTGCATTGTCACYCAGTGCTTCTGTTTTGCTGGTACCTGAACTCAGCAAATTGCTGTGCTCCCACATAGCAAATTCTGCATGTCCATATTCTTACATAAAGTATGTGCAGTTTGTGTTCTTTTTTCAGAAAACTAAAGWCTTCAATTGCGTTTCTTATGTCACTTGGTAAAAACATAATTGAAAAAASCCTCAGAACCCAAATCCACAAACATAGTAGGAGTCACTTTCACTTTTTGCAATCACTAGAGATTAACWAATAGGTTATGCAAGGGAATAAATCTGGAATTGAGAAAGGGGGATTCAAATGTAGCAGCAATGCACCGGTAGAAGGAGAACAGATGTGCTGAGTTTATTGTCTCTTCTGACAGGTCATCTACATCAGACCTCAACGTGGCACTGCGTGAATGTATGGCAGCTCTGGACTTATTTCTTAACAACAAGTTCTCAGATGCTTTGGCTTCTCTACAAGCAAAGTAAGTTGATAAGATTTCCTAGTTTTTCTCTGCATTTTTTTTTCCATGCTTCACCATCACTCAGGAGATTTTGACCAGACAGCTGGTTCTCTGTTAGCAGTTGGTAAGTCTGTATGGTTTTTGGTTCAGAAGGGGGTGGTAAGTTAATGTGTTAAGTTTTGGGGAAGATGGGTAAATGCTTTACACTTGTGTGAGTAAATAACAAGGTTGAGCAAAGGTATCCTCTAGAAGTGTACAATTGATGCCCAAAGAAGTAACCCCTCAGCTGTAGCACAGTATGTGAAATTCTTGCTCCTGGGAGAGTAAAAAACATTTTCTGTCACATTTTATTTTTGTCTCCTTTCCCATATTTTCCTGCACACTGTGAGAATCTGAATATATATAATTTTGTGTCTAAATGAGCAACTGACCATTRACAGATGGTTTCAGAAACATTAGGTATGAGTTCTTTTTTTTGCTGTTGTAACTACTTGCAGAAACTTTCTCACAGCTTATTTTGCAATTCAGTGCTTTGGTTGTGCACTCTGTTTCCTAATTATGTTGTGGCCCAGCACGTAATGAGTGGCCCAGCTGCAAGCAGTGAGGTCATAAAATAGTTTCTAAAAATTGTTGTGTCTTTACAATGTCTGTGATCTGTCATACACCGTCCTGAAGTTACCTCTGTTCTTGGCTAGTTGAAGTCTGTGGTTAATTTAAATTTCTYCCCCACCCACCCAATTTGTTCCATTTATGCTGTTGCACCAGCAAATTACATTGTGCCTTCTTTTGGGACACTGAAATAGGAAACAAGTAAAATTCACAGGTGATGCAGTGGTGTGTATTTGATAYACATCCGGGGTAACTACAATGCCTACTGCATTATCTCCTTTGCTGAGATCTCAGCCTCATAGTTAATGCCAGAATCTGTAGCTTAGTCATGTAAGTACACTCTGGGAAAGACATTTATGATRAATTGTAGCATGAGCTGTATTAATAAGGCTGAATTTATTCACAGCAGTGTTGTTTAGTGTTTATATATCATCAGAGGATACAATAAAAATGGTAAGAAGAATAACTGTGTTTTCATTAGATTCTGACAGTAAAGGCCCTGGGCCCATCTGGGAATGCTCACTCAGTGCTTAGCATAAAATAAGGGGATATTTTATTGCAGCAGGTTTSCAAAACACTGCAAAAGCTAGTAAAGCTGTGGGTTGCTTTTTTTCTTCTGTAAATCCATTTTTCTTCAGTTGCATGTGGTTTTCATTCCGCTTTTGTTGGGCTCTGCAGAACATATTTCATGAGCTGATCCTCTGTTTTTGTACCTGAATACATTCCACACTGCAAAATCATTTTGAAGCTGATTTTTAATGTAACCCTGTTGTTATGAGGAGGCCCTTATTCCTGTTGGCTTTGGCAGTGAGGGAAATAGAGACTTATGATCTTTGTGAGTGCAATGAAGAAACAGGATGCTGAATTTCCCCACAAATTATATCCATTATGGACACATTCCATCTCTTTAAGGAATGAGAAGAGTTGTGGAGTTGGCATGTGGGGTAGTACTGAGTATTTTAGGAGCCATCAGTTCCTCACTGCTCTCTTTCAGTGTGCTCAGATTTGAAATCAATTTTCACAGTCCATAAACATACTGTCACTGTTTAGAGAAATACTTTTCAGTTTTCACACGCTTGTGAAGAATTTTGTCTCTTAGATTTTTGCAGCTTTAACGCTTCTGGTGTAGGACATATTCTGCTCTGTGCTACATTATTGCASATTCACTAAATTACTCACATTTGTCTCCCTCAACAAGTGTATTTTCAACTAATTTGTACCATGTGAAAATGACAGCAGATTTGGCACAATGTGTGAGGCTTAAAATCAGAAGAGCTTTCCTAGCAGCTTAAAAATAAATATCTGAGGATGTTGTCTAGACTTGTGTTGAGGTAAAGCTCTTTTTTTTTTCCTGTAAGAAAAGCAAATCCATCATAAAGAAAAGCAAATCCATTATAAAGATCTCATTTCATAGAAAAATACATCTGGTGGTTTTGCTTCATGTTATATAAATTTGTTTCCTGAGCTACCTTTTAGCTTTTAGAGTCAGTTTTCATTGTTATCATTAACAATCTTTGTRTAATAGTGAGTTCTGATTATCTTGTACTTTCTGCAGTAAATTTAATTAAATTTATCTTTYACATGGAGTACTCACACTGCATCTGAAAACTCCTAAGAAATTCGTAAAGTTCAGTCACCAAGCACAGCAGTGATTTTCAATATGTTACATGTCAACTGTGACATGTGTACCAGTGAAACTGTTCAGTCACTGGAGCAGGGAAAAAATAAATCTCCCTTCTSAGCCCTGAGACATACAGGAAATCCATTCAATGCTGACTGGATTTTAGCCCTCTTGTAATTGCAAACAGACAGTAATAAATTAAAGAGTTGATTCTGGTGAGATATCCCCTTCCCAAGACAAATGCTTCATATTCATTCATATTTTATGTTTAAATTTTCATATTTTAAGCATAGCATAATCACCTGATAGCTTACTGTTGCCAGATCAGTTGGGAGAATGGTAAATAAGTTAAATTCATGACAGAATTATCTGGACCATTGGATGAGCTGCACATGTGTGTTGCTGCTTGCAATATTATAGGAATAATATGACAATGATTCATTCCAGGAAGCTGACTTTATTCTGAAAATTGACTCCAAAATGCACTTGGTATTGTTTGGTAGAATATTAATTCTAGAATGACTGTGTTTTGAAAGCTTTCTCTGGGAACTGATCTCCCAAAGATCAGGTGTGATTGTCAAGTGGAGAGTGGTGAAAGAATGGTGTGAAGCACACCCAGGTTAAGAGTGAAGGTCTGGATAAATATGTTGCACAAAGCTTGAGTTCATAATTTATTGTAAGGAATGCCATGAACATGAGGAAGGTTGTTATTTCTTGGGGGTTTTATCTCTTTATAACTGAATTCTGAAATAACACAGCTTTTATAGTCTTTGTAAATAAATTAATTGCTACCAAAACCTAACTAAATGGTTGGTTTCACCTCTTTGCTGGAAAAACTTGGTAGATTCTGAGTTTTGGAAAATGGGTTTGATTAAAAAGGCCAAAAGGTTCTTTTGTTGAAGCACAGCTTTTTAGTGGCTTGTGATAATGAGGGAGCTGGGCTAGGGRCTGACTGGAGAGGTCTTTGCTGGTTGTTAACTTATTGCTACTGAGGTGTCTTCACAGGAAACAGGTTTTATCAGAAAATATCGATTCATCAAATCAGAGCATTTCTGTGGAACCCTCTGCCACAGGTCTCATGGGTTGTTTGGACATTGGGTGGATCTTTGGATCAAAGGTGAAGAAAACCTTCAGGCCCCTCATTCTCCTGATAGAGGTTCAGTTTGGGCATTGATCTCTCACTTTTGATTCCTCCTGGATGAACAGACTGTTGACTGGTCTGTGGAGGGTCTTTCTCACTCTGTGCTGTTGGATTTAACTGTTGGAAGCATCTTGATACTAAATCAACATGTGAACTTGAACCTGAGATTTCTGTAATTTAGTAATACATGCCCTGTCTGCTGGATTATTGTTAAAGGATCTACAGAAAAGATTTTGGGCGCTGTGTTTTTCACAAATATGGACCCTGGGTTAATTCTGAGGTCAAATCAAGCCAAGGTTTTGATTTTCATACTTCAGCTGGAAAGATGTGACTGTCCTCATTTAAGCTCTTGTTTTCAAGCAGGAATAAAAGTGTTCTGCAGCAGCTCCAAGAAAGGGCAGTACTGCAAGGTGATAATGATTGCACTGGMGTTGGAGAAGAGGCATGTGGCAGAACTCCATAAGTGCCTAAAGTTATTACTTATAATCCTCTTATTCAGTCATGTGATACCAATTACWGGGATAAGTCATTAATCACAATATTAGTTGTATTTATGTCATACAGGCTTGTTAACTCCAACAATGTCCTGAGGAAATTGCTGCTGAGGAATCAAAAGAAGAAAAAAGAKATCAAGTTTCATTCTGTATCCATCCATATAAAATCCAGGCCTCAAAACTCCTGGCAATATGCCAGGATGTAGCTGGCAATTTTAATTGAATGGTTAGTAGAAATAACATAGATAAGTTGCATTTCTACCAGCATCCCCACCCCTAGAAGAARAAGAGCAAATTTGAATGTTGCTAAATACCAGTTGGCTAATGATAGACATTAATTATTATCTCTTTTAAATATTAGAAGCAAAATAGATTAAACCATTGATTAGGGAAGGGGTGGTTTGGTTTCAGAAACAAATTACTGCAGAGGGAAATCCCTATGTGGATGTATGTGGAAAGTACCAATTTTCCTTTTAGTGTAGTGAATTCAATATTTATCTGCTTTGATTTTGGAAGGAAATCTTTATAATTTTGAAAGGGTACTATTTCAGTCACTTCCTTGTGCTTTGAATTTGAGCTTTTGGAAGGGTTTTAGTTTAGTAAATACAAGATGAAGTGTGTTTTTCTGTGCCCAGTGAGGCTGATGAATAATCAAATGAACAGAAGCACTTCATCAGGCTGGCATTCTAGTGTGTTCATCTTTTTCTACTTTACATTATCAGTCTACTGAAAGAATCATGATCTACGAGGCCAAGATGGAACTGTCCTTACTCCACTGGATTTTAAAAGAATTTCTCTATTATCTGTCTGTTCTTCCTAGCTTGCAAATGAGATGGATGGTAGCCCAGTCTGGGTTTATAGCACTTATGGCGCCAGGTGATTTCCCAGAACAGCTTTTCTGCTAGATTGGTTTAGATGGTGAGGGCAAGTAGGAATTAAGGACAGCCACAAAGCACGGACTGCAGTGAAGTTTAAASATGTGCACTGCAAATCCTTCAGTGCAGCAATCCTGCTCTGTGCTGTGTGTGTTGGAAAAAAAAGCACTTCATCATCACTGTGAGGGGTGGCAAGAGAAGCACCAGATCATTGTCACCACAGTGAGGYATTAGATCATTGATTAATGTGAGGTTGTCTGAAATGTTCTGTTAATTTTTTTCTCAGTTCAGTCCAGATATGAAAACTTCAGGAGGCAAGTGTATTTCCAGGGGGAAATTAAAAGGATTGAGGTGTCTTTAAAGTGTGGCTTTTCTCCTTGAAACAAAACCACAGGATTATAGGAGGTGAGGTTGGAATGCACCCCAAGAAGTCACATACTCAAACAGAGCCATTTTGAATGCCTCCAGTACAGGCTCTACAATCTTCCCAGATGACATGGTCACCCTGATAATAAAATATTTCCTGATGTKCAGATAGACCCTCCTGTGCTTCAAGATGTGTCCATTGCCTCTCAACCTGTCCTTGGGCACTAGTGAAAGAGCCTGGTTCTGTCCTCTTTGCTTCTTCCCCTCAGGTATTTTTATGTATTTTAGGACCCCCCTGAGATTTCTCTTCTCTAGCCAGAACAGTCCCAGCTCTCTCAGCCTTTCCTCATAGGATAAATATGTCTAGTCCCTTAATCATGCACACCAGCCAGTTCTTGAGTGTGTCCATGCACTGAGGAGCACAGAACTGGGCACAGCACTCCAGGTGGGGTTCACCAGTGTTGTGCAGAGAGGAGGGATCCCCCCTCTCATCCTGCTGGCAGCAACACTCCTCTTAATGCAGCCCTATCTTTGTCAAGGGTGCATTGCTGACWCACCATTTTCTCCTTGAAAGGGAAAGAAAAAGAAGCACGTGAAGTAAACACATAGAGAACAGGTGTGCTGAGGGTGGAGGTTTTGAAAGGATATCCTTGTTTGACTCAAGTATTTTTGAGTATTCTCTGCCATATAGAGCTATCTGATCTGTTCTAGAGTGCAAACAATTGAAATAGCATTTGTTGCTCCTTAGCAGTATTTGTCTTAAGTYGTGCTGTTTGTCAGGTGTGGATTAGCAAGGTCTACAAAGAGTTTGTGTCAGGAATTTATCTGAGCCTGCCCTTCAACATATTTCTCAAGTCATCCTTATTAGACCTTTATGCCTGAAGATATTTTGATTCACTTGCAGACGATTACACCAGAGAGAGGTACTGGTTGAATGCTCTAAATGTGTGTGATACATAAACCCTTCTTCCTGTCAGAGGAAAGGTGCCAGCAATGAATTATTGTTTTTTCTTGCACTAATGCGGAAGTTTTTTTACCTTCTCCAWAAAGGGCACCATCTGAAACCCTATAGAATAATATTTAAATGGAACAGATTGGGGTGAAAGATCAGCARAAGGGGAGAGGAGGAAAAAGTTGTACTTTTTGACATAGACTCTAATGCTTCTGGTGGGAAGATCTGTTTCAAGGAGGTTCTATTTTGGCTGTGATTATAGTATTGTGTTACTTATCTCCTTGAGCCTGTACTGAGTAACTGTCCCAAATTAGAAGGACATCAGCTGGATTTGTGTCACATGTTGTATTATTTATTAGATACTCAAAAAACACCCCACCACAATTATATTGTCTCCCAAAGGCGAGCTGTGTGGTTAATTTCTGTGCTTTATCTGTGCTAAATACCTATCCTCAGCTCAGAATTGATAAATTTTAGCAGAATATGTAGATCTATAGACATAATTTCTTGTACAAATCTCAATCTATTACTGCTCCTTNTTTTTTTTTTTTTTTTTTTTTTTTTTTTTGCATGGCCTTTGTTTGTTTGATTTCTTCATTTAAACCTTGGTCCTCTCAGGCCGGTGCATTTCTGGAATTGGATTTATATTTGTTTTTAAAAAGCCATAACAATCAAATCAGCTGTGCTTTGCACCTTGTGTTTTCTTTCAGAACTAAAGACAGCATGTATCATGCCCTGACTTACGCCACCATACTGGAGATGCAAGCTATGATGACATTTGATCCTCAGGACATACTGAATGCAGGGAACACAATGAAGGAAGCTCAAGCCACCTGTCAAAGGTAAGAGTGGAGCAATTCAGTCAATAAATAGTTCCTTYGTGGGAAAGTTTTGAAAGACATACTGGATAAAAAAGGAAATGTAATGTCACAGAAATAATAGGAGAACTGAGGTTGGAAGGGATATCAGGAGGTCATCTAGTCCAGAGTCCTGCTCAGAGGAAGGTCACAATGCATAAATCAGGGTGCTCAGAAGTCTAGTCTGGAAAACTTCAGTTTACTGCAATATCTGATTTTTCTTGTCAATTAAACCTGTAGYCCTGGTTCTGCAGTGTCTGGAAATWATTCACAGTGTTCAAACACTGCRCAATGTTCCCATGGGTGATAGTTGTACTGCAGTTCTCAGTGTCTGAGTCAACTGTGCTCCCACTTTTGCACCCACATGCACCCTACACACACAAGATAAATCAAAACATCCCTTATCCCCCTCCTTTGTCAAGACAGAGTTCTGTGCATGATGGGCAGAAGATCCCAGGAGGACTGTGTTGACTAAGTTCTCTATGAAGTTTGTGTGATGACATGACAGGGGGTTGGTGGGCCCTGGAGGCTGAAAGACATCATTCTCTGSTGTTGATGCTCCTTGTTCAGAATGACCAAACTGATTTTTTGCAGATTTAGGAAGAAATCGACTGTAGCTAATTCTATCAACAACCTTGTGCACAAGCAAAGCCTTGAACACTTCACTGAAGGTAACACCTTTCACACACATAATTTTTTCCCTTTTGGTTTATGCAGTTTGAATCATGTAGAATTGTTAATTCAATTTGTGTTTGCAAATTGAGAATTCACTGGCAAAATCACTGATCTGGCATTTGCTATGTAACCAATTCAAAATTGCTGGTCTTGTTGATTCCTGACTCAGCACTCCCAAAAATTGCCAGGTAAAGGAATATCTAGAAAGAAATATTGAAATGCTTGTAAAGGTTCCAGGAATTTGTGGAAAGCACCAGAAATATTCCTGCAAAATTTCTGTAATTGTGTGTCATTTCTGTTTGGACTTACCTCAGTAGTCCAGAACTGAAATACTACAGCAAATTTGGAAAATATTTTTCTCAGTTTGAGCTCTGTGATCTTATTCCTGTATTAATAGGCTAAGTGTTTTTTAATTACTTTTTAACTGATTGATTTGTTTCTTCTGTCTGTGTGATGTTAGAGGAAATCCACGCAGAAATTTGTTATGCTGAATGTTTACTTCAGAGAGCAGCACTCACATTCCTTCAGGTACGGATTCCTGCATAGCTCTTAGGGGGGAAAATACCACACAGATTTCTTTTCCTAAATGGATTGGTGGAAGACTGTGGTTTGATCTAATGGGTCTTTCATCTGGATCAAGTCTGGATTTTATCTGGACTGTCTGCTGTTGAGATGTTTAATTATCCCTCATGATTATAAAAAAAAATGCTTTTCTCAACACACACAGCGCTGAGTGCTCTATGACACCCTTCCCCACTCCCCTTTGATTGTGCAAAATTTAACTGCAGCAAGCACCAACTTTGAAATTATTTGTGCTGGGATATCAGATTTGAAAAAAAATAAAAGACAATGAGATGGTTTAAGCTGTGCTGGAATACAAGCAAAACTGAGTGTTTGCTTTCCCAGTGCTGCCTTCTCACTGGTTTGTTCTTGAGCAGCTGCTATGGCCTGCACAGCAGTTGGGGTCCACACATGCTTTCTCCTTAGCAGCTCTGCCTGCCTTTAAAACAGGGGAGCTCTCCATCTTCTTTGGAATTTCTCTGTCTACACTAATGAAGCTTGATTTTTTTGATGGAGCAACATTAGCCGTACTTACTTAGGCTCCAGCATGCAATTTAAATTGTTAGTCCCAGTTGAAAGAACTGATTTTTCTTCTTGATTTGGCTGTACTTYCTTTGTGAAAGGGGGCCTCTTCATTTATCAAGGGGATAGTAAGAGCTACAGTCAGAAAAAAAGGTTCTGCTTCTTGGCTCAAGGGTGCTGATAGGAAATGGAATGCAGGTGGTGTTTTTATAGTGTTTGGGAGTTGCCAGGTGGGCTCTGATTTATGTTGCTTATGACAGTTTATGAACCATGTAACCTTTTTCAGCCATCTGCTAAGTCCCTCTGCTCGAAACTATTGCTTCATAGCAACACCCATAATCAGAGGAGCTTCTAGTAGTTTCTAGAGTGCTGATGGTGGACTTTGAAATGGCCAAGGTGTAGCTTCTTTCTKTTTTCCTTTGGGATGAGTAGCCTGTAGCCCTGGGGGCAGTTTGGGTGAAACCTGAAGCTATGGAAGCAAGACTTTTGAGAACTTCTCTGTTATGCCTATAAGAAAGGAGGATTTTAAAGCAGTGTCTCTCAGTTTTAAGCACTGTTTTCACAGGTATCTGTTTGTGAAAATGTTTGTAGACATGTGAGAGGTTTAAGAGTAAGAAAATAATTTCTTGTCCTCCTCTGCAAAGGTCTGTTTGCTTCCTCTTCTCTTCTGCTTTTAATTTTTCATGAACACATGAACTAGTTTCAAAAATTAGGCAGAAGCACTTGCTTCCGACAGTTACTGAAGTGGGTTAGTGTAAGTTATCAAATTCAGTTGAAAACACATAAAACAGTCTCAGCATGTTTCAAGGGCTGGATAATTCTCATGTTGGCTATCCCTGTTGTTGGTATCATTCTTAGTGTAAACATTTTAAAGCCATCTTCCTTGTTCAATTTTCCATTCAAAGGAAAACATAACTGAACCTTTACACATGACTGAGTGTGCTGCACCTACCCCAGTAAGGTGTACTTAGGACATCTAATTAATTAATCTAATCCATGCTATTTTCTCACAATGCTTCATCCAGCCCACTTACGATTTTTCTCTGGTATCTTCTGTTAAAACGTGTAGATTCTCTGTCTTCCATGAGTCAGATTTCAAAACAAACCAGAATGATGTATAAGTGAGACAAGGAACTGCCACCAAAATGTWATGGAACTAAAGAGCCTCTAAGTTATGGTCCCCCAGATATCTTGCTGTAATTTCTCAGTTTGTTACAGCTTATAATATAAGATGTTCTCATTCTAGTATGGATCTCATATAAATATGAATATTCAAACCAGAAAGAKCATATCCTTCATAATTTTTCTGACCCTGCTTCCCTCTAAGGATATGAAACTGTGTTCTGTAGACTCCTGAGGACAGGCAGTACCTGTGAACATTTCTTGGCTCAGCACCAGATAACATCTTAACTACACTCAAGGACAAATGAGAGAAAGCTATTTTTTGAAAGARCCACAAATCCATATACCTAAGGTGACATCTATTAGCTTTGTCCCTGTGTTCATTAATGCAAATTCAGAAAACATTAAAATAAGGTGCTTGTGTCTGAACAGAGTAAAAAAATATTTTAATATGGACAAGACATCTTAAATCTGTGTATTGTGTCTTAGAGGCTTATATTGTCTGTGTCAATGCTGGTTATGTTCCAGGTGTGTGTTCATTTTAAGAAGACAAAAGCCCTTTATAATGCTTACAAATTCATATTGCACATGTGTTTCCATTCCAACAGGATGAGAATATGGTCAGCTTCATAAAAGGAGGCATCAAAGTCCGTAACAGTTACCAAACCTACAGGTGAGTCAGGGCAATGATGTGATTAAGTAAAGCACTCTCTCAGTAAAAAGTGCTGCTGGTGAAATGATCCAATTCACAAAATCATTGCTGCTGTATTTATTGAGTCTGAATTATGGGCCTCATGTCTATAGATTTTCTCTGCACACACAGATTCTTCCTCTGCATAACAAAGAACATAAACATTATGGTTGATTTGGATTGTGGAGGTAGTGGACACTAACTCTGTTACCTCCCAAGGTTTGCCTACTTCAAGCATTATATCCTTTAAATGGTGTCAGATAATAACTGTTCTAAGTGATTCATTGTGCCTGCATTGCACAGTTTGGAGGTCTTGTGGGCATTAGGCATAATGAAATGGCTTTTCTTTATAGTTCCAGCTGCAGCTTTTTGGAGTCTTTAAAACCAGTAGCTGAAGCACRATAAAAAGTGCATGCTAAACATGCATAATTTTTTTACTTCTTTTAGCCCTATAAAAGTTAGAAAAATAAGTGAAAGTAATTTCTGATACACCTGCCCTTTTAAAAATATTTATTCCAATTGTCTTTTCCTATATATAACAAAATGTTCTTTYGAATATGCACAAAAAGAGAATATTTAATCCAAGGATTCATGAAGCCCAAGTTAAATTTGCTAATTTAAATTTAATTCTCATGCACTACCCCATCATCTCTTCTTGCAGTAGCAAAAGAGTAGTTGGTGTTTCTTCCAACAGCCTTGAAACATGTTCAGGCCAAAATGGTTGAATATTGACTATATCCATTTGACAGAAATTCCTCTTCAGGACTCCACATTCTTTAATTTATACTAATGAAAAGTTGACATTTTTTAACTACTCCATAGTTCAATCTAATTGGGTTACTTATTGAATTGTAATTAATCACATTATCTACTGACACTGTGACAGAATCTTGTGCATTTTCAGGGAGCTGGACAGTCTCATACAGTCCCCACATTATGTCAAAGGAGAGAACCATCTTCATTTTGAGGGAGGTGTAAAACTTGGAGTTGGAGCATTTAACCTGGTATGTACCAACAGTTCTTATCCTGTCCTGCTACATCCTGAAAAAGACACTAACTGAAAGTCCTGAGAAGTTCCACTGGCATCATACTGATCATGTTGTTAAAATTGTGTGCTCTGACAGTGCAGGATCCCAGTGTCTGGTCTGAGAACATCAGATAATAATGCACTTTAGGAATAAAGAGAATGCTGCCCATGAATGGAGTGAGGCCCAGGAGAATCCTTTCACAGGAGCACCAGTGTTATGTTGAATTCCACTTACTCTTTATCTGACACTTGGATAACTACCAGGATCTAGGCCATTAGCAGGGCAGTTGGAGGGGTGGGGTACACAAATGAAGCTGGGAGGGCTTCTCCAGCCATTGTTAGCTGCTATTGTGGCCAAAAAGCAGGTGAGCAAATGGTGCAGGATGGCTCCTGGTGAGGCACTGACCCAGAGATGGTGAGGGATGATGTGGTTGTTCAGGGGATGGGCTACAGAAAGTGCCTGGAGCTTCCTCTTGCTTGCATTGCTTTGCATGAGTGGTGGCACATATCTCAATATTAGATTTGCTACACAAAGAACAGATATGGATTGTGTGATATGAACCCAGTATTTCTGAAACATCCAAGAGCTTTTGGAGTTGCAAAGCATGTGCTGCGTAAACGTATTTCTGTGTAGAGATGTTTATAGAGATGTTTTTAGTAATTTTATGAATTATTTCTTGTGTTTGGAAAAATTGTAGGAGGTAGTTGGTAGCTGGAAGGCAGGAAATCTGTCACTGCATAACTCTTGCATTTTTCTGTGTAGACATTGTCCATGTTTCCTGCACGGATTCTGAGATTACTGGAGTTTGTTGGATTTTCTGGAAATAAGGTAAGTGCAAACAAAATACTATTGGCACATTCCCCTCAGTCTTAAATTAAAAAGTGGAGACTGGAGTGTCTCTTTTCTTCCTCACATTAGCTGTAACTCTCTSAGACATCCTGGTGCCACATGTGTGCACTGTGACACTGATGCTTTCACGCAGCTCGGTTTTGCTTTATATTTTTGTCTGAGCTATTGCACTTCAAAGGTTGTCATACCATTGTTCAGTGATGGAAGAGYTGTGAAACATGGGAAAGGCAATGGCTAATACAGGAATGTCAGCTTATTTAGGTTTTTATTTACTGGTCTTTTGATGTTGGTTTGTGCTCAGAAATCTGTAGTATATTCCTAGCCTTTACTATATTATACAAGTTACTTGGTAGTTACTGTCATTGTGGGGTCTGAATGTTCCTGACAGGTTCTTGCATGACAGGGCAAAAAAAAAATCAATTTAATTTCTGCTTTAACAGCAACTGGTAACTTGAGTGTGGCACCTGAATTCTCCTGTCTAAAGGAGTAATTGCTTTTTTGCCTGTGGAATAACCAGTCTGACCTATGTTGTTTGAGCAAGCTGTTTAAGGAAAGAAGTTTAGTAATGGAGCACCAGAAAACTCACATAGTGGTGAGAAAATGCTGTGCTACTGCTTTGTGGATTTGTTGTTTCAAAAGAATGCTAAATTGWTAGGAATATTTTAGCCTTGATCCCTTGTACCTGTCCTTGCCTCTCTACCAGCAGAGAACAAGAGATTCACTCAAAGCAGGGCTTGTGGGTTAAGGAAATATATGCAGAACATGATCTCTTTAACCTAAACCACTTGGCATGTTTTTCATAAATGCTGGGTAAAAAATGTCAGGTGCAAGCACAACAAAACCCATATGAACAAGTTAAGTTTTAACTCTTTTATAATGCTTTCTATTTACAAAATAAGTTTTAAGGAGAAAAGTGTCTTTTTATCAGAGCTGAAGCCTTACATGGCAGGTAAATTACTGTCATCACTGTTTTATTAGTTTACAAGATCTTATATGTAAGAAAATAAAATATCTCATTTAGAAACAAGGAGCAGAGTGTGGATTACAATTTAGAAATTTCCAAGAGCTGACCAGGAGCTATTTCACAAGCAGTGAAGGCAAAAATCAAATAGTTCTACCTGTCAGTTTCAACAACAARGAACATCTAAAGCAAAATATTCTCTTAGAAATGTAAAGGCGATTCATGTACCAGCAGAGTTCTGAGAATACTTTGGTGAACRCTCATYKTACTACTGCAGATGGAAATTGTCCRTCTAAATGAGTTTCTTTTGGCCCTGGGATTTCTTGCATGGCTGTGAGTGGGCTGATATTTGTGTTGATGAGTCAGCTCCTATTACAGTTTCTTAACTCACTGAAGCATGACCTAGATTACCATAAATTTGARCAAAACCCTGTTGTTGGCACACCATACAAAGGAGTGTTTTAAACATGTTGATCAAAGTTCATTGATGCCCATTTATTTTAACACCCTAGGTGTTATTTTAAACACCTAGTGAGTCAGATGCCTAAAGCCATAAGCAAAATTACAATTGCATGTGCAATTTCCAGTGATGGTTTTCCAAAGCTTTCAACAAGTGTCTAGGAGACAAGAGAAACAGCGACAGAGGAAAGTTTGTGCCATGTACTGCACTTATCCAGAAGAAAGGAGTTTTTATACACCTGTGTTTGATGCTGCAGTGTTTCCTGTAAATGCTTACTCTATGCAGGACAGTCATGGTTAGTGCCTTGAGCTGTCTGCAGATTGCCTGAGTGCACTGCAGGACAGCTTTTTGGTGTTAGTCATGTGTTTATTAAAACTGGATAAAAAATTGCATTGTGTGATGTTCATGATACCGACCTGCCTCAGAGCCAGCAGCTTTGCCCCTGGGGAATCTTCTTGTCTCTCAGAGCCGTATCATTTGTGGAACAGCAAATGAGGATGTGCCCAAAGCTCCATTACTTCCTAAGCCATTCACAGGTGCTGTGGACATCATGATCAACTTAACAGCAGTCTGGAGTCTCAAAATAGTACGTGGGATAAGATCAAGAAAATATAAAAAGTAGCCTGAAGCCATGTTTGTTCCCTTCCAGTCCAAGATGTGCYATCCGTGCCCTTTGCGCTGTTCAAACTCCTTTCCCTTGCACCATTAGTCAAAACAYGGGTTTATTTGTGCCCAGCAGCACAGGCCCTGCATTTGGGCAGTGAGGTTGAGCAGTTTTGCCCAGTTTTGTGARCCCCGTGGGCTGTGTGTGTCAGACACTGGGGAGCACAGCAGCCTCACCGGGCAGTAGGTGGAGTGTGTGTCCCGCCTGCACTCGGGTGTTTAACCGGGACTAACCCGTGACGAGAGCAGGACACTCCTTCAGTCTCCCGTGGAAGGCTCCTCACCGGCTCCTCTGCCAGGTCTCAGACTAATATTTACCCTTGTGCGTATTTTATGGATGATTACAAATGCTGTGCTGCTAAACTGTGCAGTTTGACATGAGCCTGCCATATGTTAAGTGCAATTTGTCAGGGGGTCAGATGACAGCGTGATTTCAGGAGAAGGCTGGCAAACTGTCAGATAGAACCAATTTCTTTCACATTATCCTTTTTTCTATGTGGGAGGACATTTTTCCCAAAGCAGCTGAGCTGAAGAATATTCTTAATATGTCAATTTGTAATAAATTGAATTCCAGTTTCTCACTAAGTATCTCTTTTGAATTGCATTTTGGTCTCTTGAARTTTTAAATGAAGTTTAAATCTAATATTATTTCATGGGATACATTCAAATGCCCCATCTATCAGCTTAATTAGTCAGTTTCTTGTAAAACTGCTGGTAGTATCCACCTCCTTGCTAAACCTGCAGCAATGTGATCAGGTCATGGGATGTGAACAATGTTCTTGCTTTGCTTTCTTTGTCAAGATCCCTAATTAAAAGAGRGCGATTTAAAAATAGCATCCAAGAGCTTTTGCTTCAGGAAAGTCRATGGATTTTAGTCAGTAACAGCTGAAATAAATCTGAACCAGCCTCAGTGTTGTCTGATAATGATTTTGAGCATTGTCCTTGTTCGTCCTGCATCCACTGTGGGAATGCTCACTGTTCCCATGGGGAGTCCTGAGTGACAGAGCATTGGATGTCTTGGGACAAGAATTGAATCAATGAGATACTGATAGAATGTAATGTAGTGACAGTCTTGGGAATTAAATTGTGGGATGTCATGAGGAACTTGGACAGAATGCTGAGAGTTTCCACACTGGATCATGTCTGGTCTGTGTTATATCTCATGTCCTTCAGAGTAGTTTATGTTTTGTGTGAAAACTGAAATGTGTTAGTGTCAATTTAGGGAAATTACAAAAATGTCAGTTCTGGAAAAATAACAAACACTTAYTGCCTAGACATCTGTTTTATATTGTTGCAATATGCCCTGTAATAGACCTTGTTTAGAAGCTCATTCCTGGTGTTCTGGGATTGCTTATATCAGTTGTGACATAGGTGTGGAAGATAGTTCTGGGTTATTTATGGTTAGAAGGTGTGTCCTGACAATTAAATATAATGTACTCACTGGTGCCAGGCCCTAAGTGAGTGCAGTTTGTTTGCAGAGTTAGTCCTCAGGCTCAAGTAGCTGCTTGTGATTTGGTTTGCAGATCCTCAGTCTGATCCCCRTGAGCATTTCACTGCCCAGCTCCTGGCACTCCCTTGGCTGATGGGGTTTGTTGGCAAATCCCTGTGGGCTCCCTGTGGAGAAAGAAAGGGCAGTGCCTGGAAAGGTGATTCACGTGCCTGATCCAGGCTGCTGTGCCAAATTGTTCCTTGGAGGAGTGTCTCTGCCTCAGCCAGGCACAGAGGGAGCCTCAGGAGGCCAGCTAGGGAGCGTGGGGTGTAAAACGTGCTTCCCAGTGACACCCTTCATATTTCTATTTGCTGGGTTTCCCATTGGAACAGAACAAGTTTGCAAGGGTTTTTTTTAAGAGAAGCAGCTTTGGTGCAGTGTTTTCTCCAAGCAAGTGTTGTCATGCTAATCACAACTACTTCTAGATTTCTTTTATTTTAGGTATGTCTACTGCCTATGTATGTTACTACTTCAGTACAGAAAGTTTGGGACATTCAGGTGGCAGAGTGAAAAATAAACAGTCTTTARTACATCTGCTGGACTAGATAGGTTTATGGACATTCCACAGAGTGAGCTAACTTGCTCAGTGAGCTTCTCGTGCCTGTGTAACTACTCAGTTCAAGCCTTTAGAATTAAGGGTGTCAGATTTGCAGCCCTCTGCTGATGAATGGACAATATTCTTAATCCCATTACTGCTATCCAGGATGCAGTCCTGTGTAAGGTGGGTGTGGGTTCATTCCTTGTCCACACAGATTATAACTTTGTCTGTGCTAAAATAAACTTCTGTGACAAAAACATAATTGAGATCGACTCGACAAAGGGTTACATTATTTTATATGACAAAGTCTGTTTGAATCATTCTTAGTGCTATTCCCATTCATTTTATATTTTTTTATATTGCTTGGAAGATACCAAATGCTGTAAGGCCTAGTGCCAGTAAAGGCTCAGTGAAATATCAAGCCTGAAGATTTTTCATGGCAACAAAAGTACTTTGGAAATATACTTTGGAAAATTTTTTGGCCAAAATTCGTTCCACAGAATGTTTTCTCTTACTTCTATGTCAAAGTGATACTTTTTTAAAAATCCAAATATTTGTGGTTTTCATCTGGGCAGTTTGAAGAGCCTGAATGCGTCGTACTTTGTTGCTCATTTGTATCAATTAAACTTTTGCTTTCTGCAGGAAATGAAGTGGGTTTTATTTTGCTGAGTGCTTTCCATGAAGTTATTGATTTTCAATAATGATCTTACTACCTTTTAATTCCAACTGTAGTAACTTACAAGTCAGTATTTTCATTATTTTTTCCCAGCTAGATGTTATAATAATTGATCTGCAAGTATGAGTCATATTTTTCCTTGTAGCAGGAGTTAATATAATGCATTGTATTTTGAAAATAAAAAMAAAGAGAAGCAAAATCACAAAAAACATTGCATTTATGTGAAAACAATGGAGTAATTTTTAAACAGATTTTTCCCCAGCACACAGTGGACATCTTACTGTGCATGTTTACAAGTAGGCAGCTCTCTTGTTTGATACATTTGCATATTAATATTCTTCCTGTTGATATCATGGAACTAGCCCTAGAATAGGCTGATAAATGCTCTTGCCTCAGGAACTTGARTCCTTAAAGTTGGTTATCCATCATGCTGTCATTGAATATGAACACAGTGTTACACTTGATTGCTTTAGTTCTTCCCAAAGGGAACAGAAATACTCTTCTTTTCATCATATTTTTCCACTGGTGGTAGTTGGCCAACATCATTGCAAAGCTCCTTTTGTTCTTGGCATACTTAAAAATGTCTTTTTGCCCTGACATCTTTTGCTCTGCTAGTTACAGATTTTATTTTCTTGATACTTTTAAATCTTCTGAAGCAATGATATACTGTACAATGGTGATATGTGGCTTTTGTCTTGCTTTTCAAAAYTCTGTGTTTTGTTTCTGGAATGCTATTTAGCAGCACTTGGATCATGATGATTAGTTCTCTCTCATTTTCTTATGTTAACCATATAATGCTCCTCTGTCACCAAGTGTTTTCCAAGCTAAGCAGTAACTCCATGAAAAACTATTWGATAAATTAATAAGTGTATTTTTACCTTTGACTGCTGTGTAAGCAAGGTATGTCAGTGCCTTTTGGGGAATTTGATGGGTKATCTGACACTGCAGAAGTTAAGCCAGCACAATCCTGCTCTGGTTCTTTTCCAAGCCTTTTTCCCCCTCCCTGTGTTTGCACAGGAGCATGGTCTGCTGCAGCTGCAAGAAGGAGCATCATCATACAGCTTTAGGTCGGTGCTGTGTACCATGCTGTTGCTTTGCTATCATACTTTCATGACCTTTGTGTTAGGTAAGATTGTTTATAATAACTCTTGCATTTGATTAGTTCTTGTGGGACACAAAGGGGAGAAAGATGATTCCATCAGCTGTTTGTTGGTGAATTGTTTGTTTGTTTGTAACCAGATTAAATGTAATTTGTCTGTGGGTCATTTTGCAGCAGTGATCATAACTGAAGGGTGTGTCTTAATGTTCAAGATGGAGCTTTGTTTAGCATGTAAGAAGGGAGATAATGGGGATGGCCAAGAAAGTTGAGAGAACAAAATCTATCTTCAGTATCCAGGTGCATTGTTGGGGAGGTTAAAGAAGTGGCTGCAAATGACAAATGCTTTGTTGATGGTGGATTTCTTTTGGGTGGTGTCAGCTTCCCACTAACGTGAACTTCTGTGTTATCTGCTGCTAAACCATTCCACACAATGTGTTTGTCTGTGCCTGAGTTTTCAAGTCAGGAAGCACAACTTTGTCAGGGCTTCCTGCTGCTGCCTTAGTGCAGCACCAACCTGTGTTTATGCCTCACTTAGTGGAGAGAGGAACCAACATTTTGGCTAATTGAGGATGGGTAATCAGTACCTTGTGTTCCTGGTCTTTGTTTTTTGGGTTTTTTTCTCTCTTTGTTTTCTAACTATTTTTATCACTTGCATTTTTACACATTATAGGGACAGGAAAAGGAAATGTTGAGGAGGCAGAAAGACTACTTAAGCCTTACTTGGCTCGCTATCCAAAGGTAAAATGAATCATAATTCATTTAGTGTGATCATTTAATGCTTTCTTGCCAAAAAACAAGATCTAGATTGTATGGTCAGCTTGAAAACTGTTATAGAATACTTGTATTTTTATTATTATTTATTACAGGGAGCCATATTCCTGTTTTTTGCAGGCAGGATAGAAACACTAAAGGGTAATATTGATGCGGTAAGTAATCATTTTGCTCTTGAGAAWGTAAATTTCAAAAGCTTTAGAAAAATTCCTATGGGAATGATATTTCCTCTTTGGCTACTGCTTCCTCTGGCTTTGGCCTATATGTGATTTGTAGTTTATTGAATTACAAATAGGAATTTGGAAAACTATTTAGACTRACTTGTTTCTCCACCTCATTTTGCTACCCCTTTGAATTTCTGTTGATAATCTAGTCTGCCAGTATTAATCACGCAGTTTTCTTATTGTCTTTCCTATCCTGATGCAAACTGTCTCTTCAATGAGACCCAGTGGTAATCCTTTGCCTTCAGTATGAGTGGAGAGTCACAAAAGACTTGAAAAAATTAGGAACGAGGAATACACATCCCGAATACTCTGAGACAGAGTATCAGCTGGTGTGCAGGGCAGCAGCTCCCTTGAAATTTGTGGAAGTGCAGCAATAAATATCAGCAGAGCATCTGTCCTCTGCCTTCAGTTTCCTCCTTTCCCTAGACACAAACGTTCATTTTTATTATGCTTAGAGGTAATATCACTTCCAGGAATGGGGAGCTCTGTGGCAGGGTAAACTTGCTAACACCAGGATTACTGTGTAGCCARGAATCTCCTGTGCAAAGCCAACCTTTGTGATTTTTGGGAAATGCTGGGCTGTCARTAATTTGGAAGGTGCAGGAGCCATGCAGGCAGATCCTGGAGCTCCAGAGTGAGTTACAACCCYTCTGTCTGTGCATGTCCATGTGACTGAGGCAGTGTTTGGAAATGTCTGTGTGCAGGCAGTCAATAGGTACGAGGAATGCTGTGAAGCTCAGCAGTACTGGAAGCAGTTTCATCACATGTGCTACTGGGAACTGATGTGGTGCTTCACCTACAAGCGCCAGTGGAAGATGGCTTTTTTCTATGCAGACCTGCTGAGCAAAGAAAACACTTGGTCAAAGGTGAGTTCAGGAGGGCAGAAAGCCCTGTAGTATCTATTAACTTTCAATCAAATTGAGGTGCTTTTTGTAGCTTCGAAGATACAGACTGTAACATAAAGCCTGGCCTGCTGTGACTGTTACAGAACAATGTGAATTGCAAACATTCAAATCTGGACAGGCTATGGGCAAGCAGAAATCTTTTGGGCCCAATTGGTTGATGAAGAGCAGTTTGTTAAAGATGCTGTGTATTGACTGGTTGTGTCATCAAATGTTGCAATTAATGGTGCAAGTTGCCATTCCTTTAATTATACTATGGATAAAAGCTCTTYTGGTGATGAGTGAGGTTAGCCATGGTGGCGTCTCCAGGGGAATAAATAAATATAATTAGAAATGGGGCCCATCCCTGTGCATCTGGAAGGGAGAACCTCTTCTGTCTGGAACCCTGGTAGCTTTGTCTTCCCTTTTTGCCTTTTTAAAAATGGGGGCTATATTTTCCCTATTCCTATAGGAGTACTATAACCAGGGTGAATTTCCCTGGACTGGGATGAGTTCTCCAGTAATGATGGGCAGTGGCTTAGCAACTTCATCCACCAGTTCCCTCAGGATCCATGAGCTTGTGCACCCTCATGTCCCTTAGATGGTCTTGAAACCAAACTTCTCCTGCCCTGGGCAGTTCATCTCACATTCTCTGCCTTTGCCTTTTTGGGCAGGGAACCTGGGGCACTTGGTGGTGAAGACTGAAATAAAAAACCTCCAAGTGCCTCAGCCACATCTAGATCCTGGGTAACCAAGTCTCCCATTTTCTTCCAGAGAGGGCCCACATTTTCTCTAGTCTTCCTTTTATCTCCACCATACATATAGAATCTTTCCTTGTTGCTCTTGCCATCCCTGGCCAGGGCTTTAACTTTCCTAACCTGGTGCCTGGTTACTCAGACAATTTCTCTGTATTCCTCCCAGCAGGCTGCCTGTCCTTCCCTTCACCCTCTGTAGGTCTCCTTTTCATGTCTTCAGTTTGTCCAGGATCTCCTTTATCATTGACATGGGCCTCCTGGAGTTTTTGCCTGACTTCTTTTTTTTTGGGACTGGAGGATGTGATCCTTGAATATTAACCCGGTTTCATGGGTCCCTCTTCCCTCCAGGGCTTTATCTTTGTGGTGCACTACCACACAGATCCCTGAGGAGGCCAAAGTCTACTCTSTCAAACTCCAGGGAGTGACTGTTTTCTAGAAACTACTATTTGGGATATGTTKCCAAGTTGTCATGGGACACAGAGACTGTATAATATTAGTTTTWTTATCTGAGCATGACATTTTMTTAAATTTTCTAGCATGTGTTCCTAAGAGTATAAAAAACTTAGTTGACAGAAGCACGAGGTTTGTTCTTGGAATTTTGACACAAAGTATAAACTGATACAAAGTAAACACACATGATTTAAAAGCAATATTCTGTGCTCACTTTGTAAAATACTTACCTCTTACTCAAATTTTTGTAAGACTGTGAGCAAAAGCAGCAACTTCTCCCTCCATGTTGTTGCTCTGTGCTTTATATGAATAAAGGTGATGCTTTAAATTCCTTTTTCTGTATAGATATTCTTCATTGCATTTGCAGGCTACTTACATTTACATGAAAGCTGCTTATCTCAGTATGTTTGGACCAGAAGACTGCAGTCCTTTYGGAGACAGCGAAGTTGAATTATTTAGGTAAAGTTTGCAAACTCACAGTTACAATGGTTTACTATCTTTTCATGTCACAGTGTTTGGGGATGAGAGGCAAAATTATCCATCATGCAGATTCAAAAATCTCTGCAAATAGTGCTGGATTGGTAGGAAATTGCAGAGTTAAACATCCCTTTGACTAAAGTGGACCCTGAGTTCAGACAGAGATTTYTCCTGGCCATACAGTGGCTGCAGCTTTCTCTTGGGCATACAATGGCTGCACATTATTTTTCAGTTGTTCAATCAAAATGGAAGGTAAGATGTGAAAGCCTTCAATGGCTTGTGCTGCAAGATGTGTTCCTCCTTGGTGGGAACATCAGCACAACTTGATTTGTGGGTTCTGAGTCTCAGAGAAGCAAGAAATATTTAAATGTGCAAGTGAATATATGCATTATTAACACACTGAGATAACCTCATTGTGTTAATGTAATATTTAAGCTCAAAAATGCTTGCTGGAGCAAAGAATATTTGATTAGTTTAGGGTTTACAATTTTTATATGAAATCTAATTTTTTTTATGTGCTTACATGATACTTTTTCAAGTTTTCTGTCTTTTGTAATCATTATAAGCAGTTTTCACTGAATTTGGAATCCATTATGAATAAATAGTTTTAGTCTTTGGGAGAATGGGAAGATAAAAGCTAGTTTGCCTCTTTCATAATCTGTGAAGAGAGATGAGCCCTTTATAAGTCAGGTGCATCATCTAATTTAATCTTTCAGTGGGGAAGAGTCCCTCTCCTCCTGCTTGATTAAAGAGGAAGCCTAGAGATTAACGTGCCCTGCATAAAGACAGCTTTTGTGAGTATGTATTGCTCAGCTTCCCCAAGGTAGCAATAGCCCAGTGTGTAACAGCTTTTTTAAGTTCTCCTTGGTTTGATTTTTTTTATTTTTTTTAAAGTTTGAGTGTGTTCATCCCAGAGGTTCGCAGGGGGAAAATTCCTGATGTTTTCCTTTAAACTTTCAGGATTGTTCCCAGTCTGAAACTGAAAATTGCAGGGAAATCTCTGCCCACAGAGAAGTTTGCAATTCGGAAAGCACGACGGTATCTTTCTTCAAACCCMGTTCCTTTGCCTGTCCCACCTTTGGTAAGTTAGAAACATCCACACACATCCCCTTTTCAACATTTATGTGATTTACAGAAATAAACCCAAGATAATTAGAATAGTATCTTTCCATGTTTCTAAGGTAAAACCTCTGCAGGAGACTGGAATGTTCCCAAAGCAAAGCCAAATGAATGCKAGGAATGCTGTAAAACTGGGGCATGCACCAGCCACAGGGAACTCAGCCAGTTGTTTGTGACACGTAGAAGTGTTGCATGTGTAACTCATTATTCCAGCTATAGAGTAGCGTGCTCCCAACAGCTTTCTTTTGGTTCCCTTCAGAGGAACTTTGCCCTGGGTCTCTTCTGTCGTTGTCGCTTGCTAACAGAGGACTKGAAGGTACAAGGAGGGGTGGTGTCAAGGGAACAATGGAAGGACTGGGGACTGCATGTAAGGAGCTGTTTAATGTGCCCTGAATGTTTGCAGTTTGGTGCTCATGGGTGCTGGGATGAAACAACCGGCTCCTTTGGCCGCTCCATTGGGGCTTTTGGGGTTTTTTTGTTTATTTTTTTTTTCCCTGTAATGCTGGCCTGTTCCCTGTGGTCAGCTGCATGAGGCACCCATTGCCTCGTTCATGGTGCACTTACAAAAATCCGCCTACAAAGAACACCTAAAAAAGAACATTAAAAGGGTTTGGAGTCCAGGGCTTTGCCAAGTGCAGTGGTGTTAAMACTTGCAGCACTTTGAGCTGCTGTGTTTTTAAGAATGAGATGGATAATTAGTAAATATTCATTAAGAAAATGCCAGGACAAGGAAAGCATCTTGGAGACCACTCCCCAGCCCACCAGGGGTGTGTGACACTGTGCCTCTTGAAGAAATAGCTGTTAGAGCAGAGCATGAGTATTCACCAGGGGCCACTAATAAGACTGAAGTGAGAGAAATAATTAGGTTACTTTGATGTGCCTTTCAGGTTTCAGAGAGGAAGGAGTGCACACACCTGGGGTTTGGCTGGGCTATCCTGCTGGGATTTCGACACATCAGGTTTCTGTAGCAGGAGCTCTCCAGCCGGGCACAGTGYCCTTGGCTGCTGTGCAGTTGCGTTTCCGAGGCAGCAGATGCCGCAGCTGAACAGATAAAAGCACTTTATGGATGTGGAACTGGGGGCAGAATCTCATCTTCAGGATTTTCCTTTTCATTATCAGAGACTTGCTGGAAAGAACAAGCCAGTCTTAGCTCAGAGATTCAGCCTTGAATAAATGTGGTTTGAATACTTCTGCTTAAAAACCACATTAATGAATCTGCACTAGGTACAGTAAACTCAGGTTTTTCAATCAACAGAGACCAGATGGTGAAAGCAGCAGTGACTGGGGTTAACATGCTGGTTCAGCTATTCTAGCCTGACAGCTTTTTGTGTCATAGTTCCACAATTCAGCTATTCTGTATAGAAATTTTATCCAAATGCTTTAAATTATCACACACAGACAAGGTCGTGTAAATAAATAAAATAAACAGATTAGACACTGATCTCTTCTCTCTGGTTATTAGTGACAGGACCTGAGGGAATGATGTGAAGCCATGGCAGGGGAGRTTTAGGTTGGATATTAGGAAAAGGTTCTTCCCCCAGAGGGTGGCAGGACACTGAACAGGYTCCCCAGGGAATTRTCACAGCCYCAGCCTGACAGAGCTCAAGGAKMATTTGGACAATGCTCKCAGGCWCAGGGTGGGATTGTTGGAGTGCTCTTGTGCARGACCAGGAGCTGGAATCAATGATCCTTGTGGGTCCCTTCCAATTCAGGATATTCTGTGATTCTATGATTGAATAACTTGCCATGAGGGCCAGTTTTAAGTGTGTCTTTGTGATTGATAGTAGTAATGGACACACTTGGTGATATACTCTAAGAACCCCAATAACAAATAGGAATCAACAAATAGTTTTTAATAAAATTTACTCTAAGGAGAGTTGAATAATGAAGTTACTTTCTTTGGGAACATGAAACAAACCTGAGGAATATAACAGRTTTAGAGTTCAGATTTAAAATTCTGTTGGTTTGTTTGAAACTTGGCATAAAGACTAGAGAGTTTGGTTTTCTTTTAGGTTTGTTTTGCTGTCCTGAGATTTCATACTTTTTCTGTGGAAAYGGTATATTGCAGTTATTTATGGGTATTAATGACTTGGCTAGGATAGAACTGCAAAACAAAAGGAGACCTTAATGAAGGGACAATTAGCCATGAGCCATGTATGTTTTAAGTCTGTTTTGTTGGTACTTGCCTTCTTCTAAAAGTRAGATTGTGTTTGCATTCTGTTCAAGCCATCTCCTTTGCATTGAGTGCACTAAGTGGCTCTTGAGGTGTCTTCCAGGACTAATTTGTTCTGAAAACCAGTGTAACGAGTTTTCAGTTGCAATGAAAACACATTTTGACAAACTGACTTTATTTAAGGAACCTGTAACTTTTTCTTCATGCAGAGATAAACTGAAACATTTGACAACTACATTTATCCAGTGCTGTAATTAATGATGCTGTCATTTCTCCCTGATCCCAGGAAATGATGTATATCTGGAATGGCTATGCTGTAATTGGAAAATGTCCCAACTTAACAGAAGGCATGTTAGAGACTTTAAATGAAGCAGAAGAGGCATTGGCAAGAAGTTCAGGTAACCAGTGGTAGGGTTTAAGCAGTTACTTTACAGTGCAATAGCTAAAGATATTATCTGTGARTAGAGAGACACTCATTAGTAAAGTTCATTGGATCACGGGAGGAACTCAGATAATGAAACCATAAACTGTTTATGCAGAGAGGAATTTTTTTATTTTTGTTATAGCAATCACTTACAATAATAGCAAGTRATTTTTGCATCCACAGATGTGTGTTAGGAATGGTTTATGATGTGTTAAAGGAYTGTTTATTTTGCTAGATCAAAATCAGCATATGCATTGACTTTGATTACTTGGATCCTAAAGTATTGTTATCCTCAGATATTTCAATTTTGAAGGATAAATAGGAGAGGAGTTGGTTTTTTGTTTTAAAAGCTCTGTCAGTTTATGACGTGACCTTTGGGCTGAATGTTGTGGTGTCACCAGTTTGCTGCAGAAATCCAGGACACCAGGGATGGCCTTCCTGTCAATGAGCACAATACAGGATTGAAATGAAACAGGCTCTGCTACCATATTTTCTGTCAGTCTCTTAATTAGCTRTCCATGAGAAAATTGAATTGGTGTTTATTTCTTGTCAGTCTTTCCCAATTCCTATGGGAGTCTGCACAGGTTTTCTCCCTAAGTTTTCCCTTGACCAATATTTGATCTTATTACTATTATATACAACCTTCCTGCAAAAGGATCAGGSCCCTGTTGACAAAGGAATATAGGCTAAAACACTGCATTGCAGTCTTTTCTCAGGCCTTGGTCTTCTGTGCAGTGAGTTACACAAGATTTGAAAGAGTTGCCTGAAAGACTGGCAAAAACTATCTATTTTTAATTAATTTAAAAAGAGAATTGGAACATATTTTCAGTGAAAGTGGTATCTTAAAAAAAAAGCCTTTGACCTTTTCACCTTCTTTGTCACCCATCTTGTGTCATTATTTTAAATAAGCAAAATATTTCTCTGTTCCCTTTTTTTCAGTTGGCAAATTGTGGATAAGGTTGTATTTTGCAGGGATTTGTAGCAGATTCATGTTTCTAGAACACTATGARGACATGCAATTGAAAAGTGGGATATATTTTAAACATGCTAACAATTTAAAGTGTTGCCTGTTCCAARTATTGACTTGCTATTTTCAGGCATATTTAATGAACCAAGAAAGCTGAAGATTTTGCTTGTAAACGTCTGAGAATAAGCTGCTATATGGATTGACTATGAAAAACTCAGATGTTTTCTTTGAAATGTATTATGCAGAAATTTTTTAATGGAGATATTGATAGTAAGGACTTTGAACTAGGTGAGGCTGGTAAGACTCTGGCCATTCAGAAGAATAAACTCCAAAGAAGGTATGGTGAGATGTGAGGCACGGGTAGCAAAGTTTCATATGGTTTTGTTTAGCCAAATAAAGGTGGAGAACTGATAAAATTCTTGCCCATGAATAGGCCAAGTCAGGAAAGCAGAAGAGTTGTACAAKGCATTAAAGATATAAGGTTGAGAGATTGTAAATTTACAATATTTACCAAATGGACATCTTGAACTAGTTTTTAGGTGTCAGAGCAGTTACACTGTGAAACAGCTTTTCAGTGGGAGTAGGGAGGGAAAGATCAGCCCAACAATTTTTGGGCAAAGTTTGATCAATTTATGAAAAGGTTGATGTGTGTTTGTCTTTGCATTAAATTAATTTCACTAGCTAGTTCTTTCCTGTGTTTCACTAGATGGACTGAGCTCACACTTAGCTTTGWAGAAGTTTCTCTACAGGTAGGAAAGTCTCTTCTGTTCTAGAGTTTTCTAAAATGTGCTATTTTCTTCCTTCTGCAGCTACAGAACTGCTGGCAGATGACCGGTGTGTGATAAAGCTGTTAAAGGGATTATGCCTCAAGCATTTGGGCAAGATCTCAGAAGCAGAAGACCATTTTAATTACATCTATTTAAAGTAAGTTTTCATACCTGGCATGTAGGAGAGCTCTTGAKTTTCAAGTAACAGGAGATACAACCTATTCATGATATGAATAGAAGGGAGAGGACTGCAGTATCTTTACTATTTACTTCAAGGTATTTCAATTTTAATTTCCAGTGTTGTTAGCTATGTGTTGAAGAACTTCAAATCTGCAATTTTTATTGAGGTATTTTCTTGGGGACTGTAGGTGCACAAAACTTTTCAGATACCACTTCTCTTTTTTTTACTCCCTTCCTCTTCCCAGTCAAGAAGGAGCTGTACCCCAAAAGCCCAAATGCACTCTGCAGAGCCAGGTGGGAGCATAATTGCACTGGGAACTTCTGTACATCATGTGGTGAATGGCAGCTCTTTTTGGCAGCTCACATGGGTAGAGCTCATGATATTGTCATCTTTTCTAACACTTCCCTGATAATAAAGGCATTATTTTCTAATCCTGAGATTATACRTATTGTATAGGATGCTTATGCAAAACAAACATTTAATAACCCAGAAGGGAACTTTKGATGGAGAACATGGCAAGTGTCGTAATGGAGATTGATTGCTCCTTCTGATCTGAGCTAATCTCCTAATTATTTGTGTTGGGAGCTGTTAAATGAAGGAAACAATATATCATTCCAAGGTCTCTAGGCTATTTCTTTTCCAATGCAGTGAGAAGAAGATAAAATATGACCATTATCTAATTCCAAATGCCTTGCTGGAGCTGGCAATACTGTATCTAGACCAGGACCGAAGAGAAGAAGCAATAAAACTTCTGGAAAAAGCAAAGTAAGTGTAAAGGTTTTGTTGGTGTCTGAAGGGTCAGTTTGGTGTTTCACTGGTTAGCAGGAAGCAGAATAATTTTGTTAATATCATGGAAACTTGTTTCACTTTTCCAATGGGATCGTGTGTGCCTTGGTTTTGGTTTGGACCTTTCCAGTGGTAGGTGTTACATTTGTTCAGTCTGGAACTCATCCCTCTGCTCTGAAAAGAGAAAAAAAAATGTTAATAGGAACGTCAAAGTCTTCCACAAGAAATAATCCATGTGTAACAAAATGTAATAATCTTTGTAGTCTATTTCATATAAAGATGTATTAAATTTAATCAAAGCTCTGTGTTATGGCTAAAATAGCATTACTTGAATTGATGGCCAGCAGTGCCTGTTTCTTTCCTTGATGAAATGCATTTAAGATAATGCTTCAGGTTACACTTGGTATCTCTGTATTGTTTCATCTGCATCAAGGCAACTGAAACACCTGCTTTGACTGTTTTGTGTCATTGACTTTTCTAGCAAAGTAGGTTTATCAGGAAGTTAGACTTAAAATTAACAAAATACCRGGTTTACCTCTGTTTGAACCTTTACTTCTCTGCTGAGCCAAAATTTTGGCAGTRGTGAGGAGGGAGGGAATCCAACCCAAACAATTCTCCCCCTCTTCAAGCATCCAGCAGCAGCAGCAGCAGGGGTAATTCACCTTCTCCTGGATCCTGAATGAGTGCAGATGTGCAGTCACTGCCACAGGTGTGAGCAGCCACAAAACTGCCCCCAGTGTAGAGAGGTCAGACTGAGTTTTTATGTTGTTTTTTGACCAAGTCAGGCCATTCTTCAAGTCAGAATAGCAAATTAAGCCTACCAAAGATTATGCCAAATGCTTGTCAGCACAAAAATTAAAATATTGCAATCCTTAATCTCCTGTGCTTGTGAGCCTTGTTCTCTGAAGATTCATGGAAGATAYTAAGAGCAGCAGAAATTGCATTAGGAAAGTGCAATGGAAAGTATTTCAATGGGCTTCATGTTCCTCAAAACACACCCCTCCTGTCCTCATTTCCTTTGTTCAAATCTCTCTTAAGAAGAGGTCTAGAAATRACTGATTTGGAGCTGCTGATTCCAGCTGCAACTTCTGTCATTGCTGCTCAGCCATTGCACCTTTTCTTGGCAGCTCTGGGTGTCTCRGGCCCCCTCAGGAGAAGGTGTTTGGCTTAAAGAAGTGCACCAGCAGAAAGCAGCCCTGAAAAATGTGCTGTTGCCCTGTGTGTGAAAGCTGATACTCACACTTGCTGTGCTCACAGAACTCGTGAAAACTATAATGACATGCAAAAAAAAAATCTCATTACAGTCAGTCATAAATAAAGGTGCAGCTCTTACATTCCCACCTGTGGCATTAAAATGCTCTGGGTTTTTGAGCTTTCACCTACAAACAGTGAATATCTCAGCAGCCACGAGAGGGAGAGCAGAGCGTTGGAGGGGCTGGGGCTGCAGAATTCTGTTTGCAGTTGGCAGCAGTGCAGGCGAGGCTTGGCTGGTGCATGACGCTTGATTTGCCTGACCTAAATCCACGTCCTGCTGCTGGCTTGGATTCTCAGCTCTGGGAGAAAGAGTGGGATGAGATGATAAACAGTTTTGGCTTGGTCAYGCATGGAAATATTTCTATTTGCATGACTGTAAACTCCAAACAAGAATATCAGTGTACTCATGAGAAATACAGGCCCTGTATTTCTGATGACAAAATGATGTTTAATTTGATGTTTAATTTTAATAATGATGATGACAAAATCTGTTTAATTTAAAGGGAGAACTCCACGGGGTTTTAGACCAGCACACAGCAGAACCCAGGCATCTCCTTTTCTCAGTCAGCCTCTTGGGTGTTTCATACATAAAATTCTAAGCTGGTGTAGGATGGGCATGGAATTCCTTGTTTTCCCCAAGAGACTGGCACTGCCACAGACAGATACCACGCTGCCATGCTTGGTTTGAATTATGAATGTTGAACTGAAAGGCTGTTAAGCTACATAGACTTTAATACTTAATGTTATATTTCTGTAAAGATGACAAATATCTTCTACAAGAAAATTAGCATGGTCTAATCCTCTTTTGTATCTGGATTCTGTATCCATCCTGTAGGAGCTGACATGTTAATTCCTGCTAAGTAGGATCTGCACTTTCCATGTGGTCCTGGGGCAAATTTTCTTTTTTCTTTATATGAACTCTTSCATGAAAATACAGATTCTTTGAATGTCCCAGTAACTCTTTAGAGCATGACAGAGCTCCTGGGAACTATAGGGAGATGACAGTGTGGAGTCAGGCATTAGATGTGTGTGGGTAGAAATCCTGCCAGTCTTTCCCTGCAATGGTGAATCGCTCCTCAAAAGCTGAAATGGAATCTGGTGTGTGCCCACTTTCTCTTTCCAAGCTTTTGGAGCAGCAAATTGTCTGGCTTCATTTCCTACACAGAGTATTCACATTGTTGGCACCCATAGGATGGAGATGGGATGTTTCCCTCCTCTGGTTCAGGACAGCTTCCCTTCTCTCTTTCTTTTTTTTCCCTCTCCTCTTTACTTTCTTGAAATTAGTCTGCCTTATTAAAATTACTTTCGAAAATGCTGAAAATATTTGTATTCAAATCTGTCACTTATGCTTTGAGAGGGGGAAAAGGTTTTCTAATTTCTGAATGTAAACTAAGTGGATGTTACAGATAATTAATATGGAACTCCATATTTTGATTGAGTGGACCAGATTCAATTCCTTATTAAGCTATATTTTTCTGGTAATTGCCAGACATGGAACTACAAATAAAGAACAAAGAGCTGCATTGTTTGGCCAGGAGCACATGCCTTGTATTTTAGAGTAGGCAACAAAGGAGCTTGTGAAGAAAGGGTTTCTTGCTGTCTACAGTTGTTTTGCTTAAAACAGTAATAGAAAGATAATTTAGRAATGTTTTAAAAATATGTATTAACTGAATGGATCTTCTTTTGTTTCAGACAAAACTACAAGAATTACTCCATGGAAACAAGGACACATTTCAGAATTCAAGCTGCCATGCACCAAGCCAAATCCGCCCCAGAAAATGGAATGCACTGTGGAGCCTCGGCAGTGTCGTAACTTTTTCTTCTTTGATGTTCTGTTTGTTGCAAACTTTGGTGCAGAAAATTACTGACACTTTAGAATGATTTTTCCTTCTCTTTCAAGTCAGTGAAAAACCAAATAACTTAAAATTTCAAAGGTGATGCATAAAACATTAATCTAGTGTAATAACATGGCAAAAAATCTCTCAAACCAACCATAACCCTGAAAAATATTGTTTTTCCAACAGTGGCTTTTTGAATACTTACATCTGTGTAATTCATTTTTCAATCGTGTGCCTTTTTCTTGTGTTAGCAACACTATGCTGTAGCTTGCTTAGTGAAAGGGGAACATTTGAAAAAAAACAAACAGCAAAACTTTTAGGATTCCCAGATTTAATCTCAGTTAGCTCTAAGTGTTTGTTTGGCTCCATACTGCTTGCAGCTGAGAAGGAAAGCATTGCTTTTTCCCAGAACCTGCTTAGTTGGAATGATGTGAGAAAATCTCACAGCAGGGAGGAGCTCTGGATGCTGGGCATTTCTAGTTGTGAACAGACAGCTGCTCTTTACCAGCTTCTACCAGTCACTTTTTTGCTTCTGTAAGAAACCTGCTGGTGRAAAGAATGGTCTCCCTTATGCAAGTACCTTGACTTTTTCTTTAGTTTGGTTTTCCTGTCGAGTCTGCTGCTGGTAGCAGCTGAATTAATTTACAGAGGATTGCRGGGGGAAAGGTGGTGACGGTGTAAAACTGCATTGCTGCCTCTTTGACAACGGGAGGTTCTTAGGAAATGGTTTTTTTGTCAGAATGAATACAATCTGAAGCCTATGTCAAATTTAAAGCACAAATCCTTGAAGGTCATTTAAGAAACAGCAACACTGCAATGGCTGCAGAGGGATCCAGGAGTTATTGTGACAGTCCATTCCTTCCTACGGTGACTGTTTTTAGGATTCCCAGCCTGAGATGTCCCTGTTGAAAGAGGCTGATGTTCCCTGTGGGAGGAAGCTGGGGCTGGAGCAGGCTCCCTCAGCACAAAGCACAGCCCTTTATCTTTTTGCTTTTTATTGWTTTTTTTTTTKGAGATTTTCTGTGCAAGGGGCTTTGAGAACAGAGCAATGAGCTGGGTCTGCTTTCCAATGCTGCCTGCCTTGGAATTCCTGCTTTGCTGCAAAACTGGTGAAGTTGGTGTCACCACAGCTTTGACTCGTGCTTGCTGCTCTCCAGGCTAGCTCCATGCCTCTATGCCTCTGGGCTTCTGGGGCACACTTCTACCTCCCTTCTGAAAGCTTCTTCCCCATAACCCATTCTGATGGGTGGAGATGGGAGGTCTTTTGACAGCCCTTTTTCTCCGATGGAGATGTTTGTCAGGAAGATTCATGTCTATGTACCTCACAGTGAATATCCTTTCTAAAGTGATTGTTCCCAGCAGAAGAGAAAATTGACAGTTTATAGCTCTCTTTTAGCTCCTCAAAGGAAATGAAATTGTTTTATAACTGTAAATTAATATGCAAGGAGACAGAACCATCAGTTCCTCAACAAGGAGAACTTGCATTGTCTTAAAAATAGATACCCTTTATAGAAGTCTTCCCAAGTTAAAATCATAGATGAAGACACATTTTTAAAGTGACTTTCTCAGATAAATTCAGTTCAGACAAATTTCTCGATTCAGATAAAATTCAGTATAAAGTTACGCTATTTACATGCTGCACATCAAAACTTCAGTGTAAAAATTCATTCTTTGTATAGAATAAAAGAAGTTTCTTGTTCTATTTCATGCATATAACGCCTCTTCTTCCAGTTGTGTCCCTTTCAAATATTTTGGCAACTGTAGCAYCTTTTAAGCAGCAAGCAATGCCATGTGAAAATTAGCATAAATTGTGCTTTGCAGAAAGTGAACAATCCTTCTGACTGTAGATTCATTTCTCATCTTGGAAATTTCACCCACAGCTCAGTTTTGCCTGATCTTAGATACATCACACAAAGGATGTACTGTGTGATACTCAGCCAGCTTCCCTGAAGCTTTGCAGCAATGAAAATCCCAAGATTTCCCAAGGTTTTCATAACCTTTCTAAGATTTTCACAGTCATCTTTCCTCAAACACCAGCACCAGTGACACTGTGGATCTGATCTCCAGCTTCAGCTGAGTGCTTTGTAGTTCRCTGTGATGTTTCACTCTGACTCCTTGGCGCCCAAGCCATAGGAAATAATCACCTTCCTTATGCAATGAGGATTTATGKACTGTAACAGCACGAATCCATTTGAGGAAAAGATGAGTGGAAGGTCTGGTACGTTGTCATTGTGTAAATTTTTCGATCTATTATATTTTGAATTGCCCAGCATCACTCTGCTCATCAGTTCCTTCATTTTGGTGCTCCTCCATGACAGGGATCAAAACTCCGTGGGGTCTGGGCTGGAAGGTCGATGCTGGGCTGGTTTTTCCATTGCTCCTTGGGAAGCTGCTGCGTGGTGTCTGGAGCAGCTCTCTGTGACAGTAAATTGCCTCATCAGTCTGGAGTCCCAGATGCAGTGAATCAGGGGAAGCACAAATGTGTGAGTTCTCAGCCTCAGGGYATTCACTTAGCAGAAAATAGCAAATATTGTCATGGAATTGCAAATCAGTCATTGAAGCACTGCCCAGGATTCAGGAAATGGAAGTACTGCTGCAAATGGGTGTAGTCCATGCCTCAACTGCAGAAGAGCAGTTCCTTCTGCATCCAAACACTGAAGTGTCTGAGCATTGCTTGAGGAACCTGCTCTGTACACCAGCTTTAGACAACAACTGCTGCAATCAACTCTTCCCCATCCTCAGCAAAACCAGAGATGTTACCTAAAGGCAAAATTATTAACTCAGTAGAAAAGTTTTCTACACTTGGTAGGACTTTTACCATAAAACCTACAAACTTTATTTCTTTTTCTACATACTGTTTTTACCTAGCACCAGTAAGTGGTTTCCTGCCAGCAAGCAAGGAGGGATAGAAATGTGTACTCCATTTCCTGGATGTCTGCAGCAGGCTGTGGTGCCCCATGGGAAAATGCTGTCACCTGCAGGTGGTAGAGGCAGTAAAAGGGGCATCTCTTTAATCAYGAGCTCTGATGTGTGGAATCCCTGTGTGCAAGGTCTCGGTGACTGAGGGAGGAGCTCCTGCTGAGGTCTGAGGTGCAACCACATCCACTCCCAGCTCCTGTAAATAACACAAAACGAGATACAAACTGTTGGGTGAAGGATGYTGGGCTGGGCTGAACCTGTCACAGCTGCTCTGGACCATTAGAAGAGAATTTGATGAAGTCAAACACGACACAGAACTACTGTGATCTGGAAACACCCGCTGAGGATTGCTCAACTCCACCTGTGGCACAGCAGCTTGCTCTGCTTGCTGCCACACAGCTCTGCTGCAATCAACAGTGCACACGTGCCATGAGTGGCTTAAGGACTGTCCCCTTCTGACTGTGCCTGTCTGGCCTCCGGCTGTTTGCATTTCAAAACTTGGCTTAGGAAATGGCATTTTATGAAATACAGCAGCRTAGAACAGGATCACATCAAACATTTCCTCCCATTTCACACTGATTTTGGCATCAAATTCAGTATCGARTGCTTTAGTATTTTTAGTTATTGGTGGCCTGGGTCCAAGACTAAAAGCTCACGGGCTGACAGCTTCTGTGCCTCTGGCCCAACAGGGGCATCAAGCAMTGCTCCTCGGTGTGAGACAAGGCTTTCCTACAGGTCAGTCCCAGAATGCAAAAAGCACTCCCATGAGTTTAAACACAATGCTCAGCCTCCAGCTCCACCTGCAAGATGCATTTCTTTGCCTTCTCAAGCATAAAAACACAGCAGCAAAGCAAATGTATATGAAATGACCAAAACCAACATATTCAACGCCGTTCCCCCTCTGGGAGGAAGAGGAGAGGATAAAGAGGTGAGTCATGTTGTTTACTGCTCTACAGGAAAATGGTTAATGGTTGGCAATGTCTCTGACGAATGAGATTGGGAAACCTGAACAGACTAGAAATGAACTTGCTTCTTTTCTCATTACGTTCTGCAAATACATTTTGGTGGCAGATTATGTGCAAAGCGTGTACCAGCAAGTGTTTTAATTGAATGATTTGTCATCATAGAATATTTTTTACAGATGCTATCTAGGTTTGCTTCAGGTGTTTTAAAAAAAAAATACAAGTGTTTTCTTTTAAAAACATGCTCAGTCAATCCCTGTCTCAAAGATTTATGAAGAGCAACAGAGCTATTAAATACCTGCATTGCACTGTRGTAGAGTTCTGCATAGTATTTGCTTAAATTCAGCCACGTTGCTGTAGGACTGGGCTGTGCTCCATTATTTTCTGTGGTTTTTTAAAATCTCAGGACTTTTCATCACTGGCTAAGCATAAGCAAAATGTTTATTTAGAATTATGCATTGCAGTGAAGTTTACTTGCTTTCCTTGACTGTTTCACAGAAAGAATGCGAAACAGAGCAGTCATAACCCCCTGCATGCTCCTTTTTAAAAAAAAAGCCCAAAAAAAGTTCATCTCGTGCTWACAAGGTATAGTGACAGCAGTTTTGTGTCTGTGGCCTGAAGGYAATGGAGTGATGTGGTGAGAAAGGGTTAGTTATGTATACTCACACACAGTGGTGGCAGGTTCTGGAACCAAAGCTTTTTGAAAAGTTATCAGATCTGTTTGGACTATTCATTAAATTCAGCACTTTAAAAAGGCGAGATAYTTWAAAAAAAAARMARMAAAAAAAARSYTTGATGATGRCTGAGGAAAATGCAGAGGTTGGAGGCCTGTACTAATGGTTTGCAGTAGGATCACACTGCAGGAATGTGCATTATGCAGCCTTCTAGAAGAATAAATCCCAAGGCAAAYGAGCAATGTAGCAAGACCCCTGCAGTGGGGTCATGAAAATGCTGGTTTATGCTGTAGAWTTGAAGGGCATCTGTTTTCCCTCTGGATTAGCAGAGCTCTGCCTCAGTGGGATGGTAGCTGGGATGTCTCTCTCCTGCTCAGAAAACAATTTTGGAGTGATTCATCTTTCCCCCCTTGAGTTCTTGCCTTGTCTGCCTCCCTCAATCTGTTTCCCCAGCGTGAATCCTGGGTTACACAGGCAGCTCCTGCTAACGTGGCAGAAGCGAGGGCAGAAGATGCTGCAAAGGTGAAGTTTGTCTGTCATTGTGCAGTGAGAGCCAAGTGAGGCTGGAAAGGTGCTCGGTGTGAAAGGGCAGCCAGGGCATGGGTGGTGTGTGGGGTGAACCCAGCGTTCACTGCTGCGTTCAGAGCTGTCAAAGTGCCTTCTTTGAAAGCAAGACGAATGTTTTGTCGGGGTTGGTGCTGCAAAGAGCAGGTTTGTGAAGTTGTGCTGCTCCTTTTCCAGCTGGGAGGGCAGARCAGGGCTGGGGGCTCTCAGTGCTCGCTGGGCCCCTCTTGTTGAGTTAGCAAATACCTCGCTGCTGCAGGAACACAGAAAGGGATTTGCACAAAGGATTTCTTCATTATTAACTCCTCTCTGCAGCTTTTACTTAGCAAAGTGTCAGTGCAGAGTGGATGTTGTAATGAATCAGTTTCTAGCATGAAAATGGTTATTTCTTTTGCTTAAATCAAAAAGATGCTTTTGCAGAGTATGTTTAGACTGTTCTCTTTATCACAAGGCATTAACTTTGCATTTCATATCAAGGATTCCAAAGCCCCAAACTCTTATCCCAGAACAGGTTTAAATGCAAGATAATCTGCAAAGGATGGTTAGCATAAATTATATTCTTCAAAGTTAAATGCTGTATAAAAGGAAAAGTTAATCCTTGAAGCTAATTTTTATTCTGGGTGTTAAGTCAAGAAGGGTTCTTCTGAAGAGATTTTATTCATGTGTTTTATAGGTTATCAACTAAAATGTTAYGTTTTTAATAAAATTGTGGTGTCTGTAACAAACAGTGTTTGTAATCAGGCAGCATCCACTTTGTTTCTGAGTCCTTTTAATCCAGGATTTAACTGCTGAGAGACCCTGTACATTTGGTTTCAGCCATCTTGTTATTTATTTCACTGGCAGTCTGTCTCAAAAGAATTTTCATCTTTACCACGATTGCACAAAGACAGGAAATGTCGAAGTCCTGGAACTGTGGCAACTGAAGTAAATTCAGGTATTTCATAATCCCTCAGCCCAGAAATGTACCCTTCTGCCACTGGAGACTGTCAGCCTTCCAAAAACAGAATTGCTTTCAGCCCTGGGAAACTGCAAGGTTGAAGCTGTTAAACCCTTTTGTAGCTCATGCTTCTCGGAAAGAAATGCTCTGGGCTGGGTTTGTTTGTTTACATATTTTATGATTCTCTCCCAGATTTACATAATGAACTGACAACAAGTAATAAGGATTACCATCCTTAGATGGAAAATGATGAAAGTGGTAATTTCTGTAGCATGCAAGAATTTTTAAGCATAAAGGTCTGTACAAAACTGGGTATTTCGTACTTGTCATGATATCCTTTTGGCCTCAGCTTTGTGGGAGTTTCCTTCTGATATTGAGAAAATCCATTTCCTACTCCAAGCTGCAAGTGGAAYGCAGCCACCTCGTCGCTGTGCCCCCTGCATGCAGGGACCCTCCCTCGCTGCTGTTTGTGTGGCAGCTCTGGCTGTGGAGGGGACAGCAGGATGTGGTGGCACAGGGCAGGTGTCCCCTGCTCTGCTGAAATGGAGCCTGGTGACCCCTGAGCCCTGCCTGGCTCTGTGCCAGGGCTGCTGTGCCACTCCCAGCTCTAAATGACAAATGACATCGCTGCACTCAGTGTTTGCATCACACTGCACAGGCCCCGGGAAAATCCTTTGAAGCAACAGCTCGAGGACTGCCAAGCACCTCCAAACTCAGGTACCTGCACACAGTAGCTCGAAGAGGCCTTTTTTATTTGTTTTCCTTCAAAATGCTTTGCAGMCATTTTTCTGTGAGCCTGCCCACCCCTGGCACAAGAAGGGTTTTGGGTGAGCAGGTCCAGGTGAGCCAGAGCCAACCCTTTCCTCTCACTCAGCTGCAGGAGAGTCCAGTTGGGAATAGCTGGGCTGTGCTGCAGTGTTTTAAGTGTGTAAAGTGCAAGGAATTTGTTAGACACCWCTAAGACAGGAGATAAATATTATCKTCATCTTATAGRTGGTAGAAATAAGACACAGATCTGGTCCTGCAATTGTAGCTAAAATTCASGTTATACATTGTTTTGCATTGCATTCAGATCAATTCTTCTTTGAATTAGAAATCACCCAAAACAGCATTGTACCTAAAAACTTGAAAAATAATTTGATTTATTTGTTATATTTACACATTTGTCTTCAAGCTAGAATTTGAACTTTTGGAAATGTTTTTGTGTCATCAGCCCTAGATTTAGCCTTTTACACCTTTTTGCTATTTAACAACTATTTTAATWAAAGTAATTTCTTCCCTTAGCCCAGTCAAGTGTATCAGTGTTAAAAGTTCAGCTGTTCAGGTGGCAGCTGCCTAGGAAAGCATTCATCTCACTAATCCATCACTGCCTACTTCTTTTAAATCTTCCTTAATTAAGTCTTGTAATAAATAAAGACTAATACCACCATGACAACACTGTTTTTTTTTTTTTCAAATTGTTCATTTGCCAGTTTTAACAAGATAAAGAAATTAATACTTAATGTGGACATTGCTTTACCACAAAAAAAAAAAAAAAAAAAGAACCCAACCCCTGAAACAAACAGACAAAAAGGAGGACACAAAGGAACACACATGGAATGATGAAAAGGAACAATGATTTTGCACAACTTCAGGTCTCTTCCCAGATTTTTGATCCATGTAATTAGGTAGGTATGAATTCAGCAAAACCTTGTATCCAGATTAATGTGTGGCCATTTGAGTGAATCTAGAACTGCAGAGTGTTTTCAGTTCCTTTGGACTGCTCCTTGGAGTTCTTCTCTAAGGGAACAGGGTGCTGTCAGCTGCAGGAACAACGAACAAACATTGACTCTCCTTTGTGCTGACCAGTTTTCCACAACCCAAAGAATTACAATTCTCCTCTTCTATAAATGCACTAAGTCCTCAAAGGACCTGGGTCTTTAAACACAACTTGTTCCATCAAGAACGCGAACTACAGCTGAAACACAATCAAAGAACATTCCCCAAGTCTGCTGTGGTTAACTTGAGATTGTGTTTCACTTCATGAGACCAGGGCTTCTCACTGTATCAGGGTGGCACTGAATGCATAGAAGTCACAGTAGRTACATTAAGGGAGTRGGGGAGAAGAAAAAAGGAAAAAAAMCATGCYAAGTGGAAAAAGGTCTTTACAGCTACAATCTTTGCTGGAGCCTCTGTTAACAAGCACATACTGTTGGCTACAGAAATCAGGGAGTTGTGTCATTCTGGCTATRGCAGGACTGTTTGCCCCCTCCACTGTTACCCTGACACTGTGTTTATACAAACTTTGCATTTATGTGCAGAACAAAGTCTATTTTTCTCCTTTCTGAGTTCATTCCTGTTTGGTGGACTGATGTGTCAGCCAGCAGGGCTCAACAGATACATGTAATACAGGAGACTGAGATACAGTATGTTTATTCTTAACTTCTGATAACCTAAGAACTACAAGAACGAGAGATGCAGTATCCATTTACTATCATCCAAGACAACCATTTTTAGGGAGAAAAAAGTAGAATAAGTGATCAATGCTAACACTACATTAGTTCCAAATTTATTTTTTTTTCAGTTATGGCAGCTTAACTATTTATTGTTCATCTGGCCCACTTTTAATCTGATCGAGTTAAAGGTCACATATTAAAGTTTAAGGATTGTTATTTCACCAAAACCGAARGAAGTTATAAAAAAAACCCATGAAACCACAGTTTCACTGCAGGACTTGTTTCATATCTTCATAATCTGCATCMCTTGTAGAAAAGGGATAATGCATCTCAGTTTGCTTACAAGCTAGGAGATCACTTTGAAGTCTGCATATTCCTAACTGCAAACAAAATATAGCACTTTTAACAGGTTATAAATAAACTGGTTTTCAAGCATAGAGCCAGCCCAACAATAACAATACACTATTAAAAAGACCTAAGGCAATGAATTCCATCTCCAATGGAAAAAAAAAGAAAAAAAAAAGAAAAAGAACTGTGCAAACAAGCTTAAAACTATTTCTTTGTGCCAGTGTTATAAAATGTAGATTTCAATAAAGCCTTGACCCAAATGCCAGGACTTGTGAAAAGAATCAGAACAAAACTGGTTACTTTATTTAGGAAAAAAATACTCTTATCTTGCTGCTAATAAAATTGGATACACGCAGTTTAAACATTTACAGTTGCTGTAACACTTTACACAATTCCTATATATGGGTGTAAGAACAAACATTAAAAGACAATGGTGGGTCAAGGCTTTACATTAAAAATAACAACCTACTTTTCTATAGTCTCTAAAATACTATGTTTTCCAATATTTGCAGCCATTCAGGAATATTTTTTTATTTATTTATTTATTAGGAAATGTATACTTTGTGCATGATCTTAATTCCTAATTCCTGGCTCTTTGGGCTGAATGACAAAAGGATCAAACCCATTGAAGTGGATGGTCTCCTTGAAGGTTCAGTAGAGAAACCCTGGCTCAGTTAGTCTCATATGATGAAAGCAGTGCTGCATCCACTGGCTCCATGCAGGATGGACAGGTAAAGGATCTCATCAACCAGTCATCTATACAGTCCAGGTGGTAAATGTGCATGCACGGCAGAAATCGGATAGGGTCCCCATAAACAAAGTCCATCATACAAATKACACATCTGGGGGGGAGAAGAAAACAAAATATTTAAGCTGCTGTTACCGAACTGGAAATGAAAAATGTAATATCTGCCTCTGGATGCTTTTCATATTTGTAGATACAGAGAGGATTATCCTTGTGTAAGATAAGAGCCTCAGCCTCAGATTCATGGAGTGGTTTGGGTTGGAAGGGACCTCAGAGCCCATGGAGTTCCAACCTCCTGCCATGGGCAGGGATGCCACTCACCACATCAGCCTTCTGCAGGGCTTTTCTTTGTTTTAAAAAACGACATTAAATTACAGCCCCTGAAAGCAAGGCAACCCCAGGATGACAAGATGGGGTTTCCCAGGGCAGCATCACAAACGAAGGCAAAGGCCACATCCCTCCCAATTTCTGTGACTTACTCTCGGATCTTCTTCTCGGAGCCGTCTCTGCCGGGGTCATAGACTCCTTTGGGAAGGTGCTGGATGAGGCCGATCCTCTGCGCTATCCGGATCTGCTCCTCTTCCGTCAGCTGCGTGGCCAGGCGAGTCTGGCTCGGCGTGGGGTGATACACAGGAACAGGCACCTGCTCCTAAAATCAAAATATTGCCATTAAAAACCACCACAGAGCTCTCCTAGCCTTCCACAGCACAGTACGATTCACAGTCCTACAAATATTTGTATGAACTCCCACTCCTACTTTGCAATTTTGGGGCTATAATTATATTTAGAATAAGAACTGAGGGCAGTATTTGAGCAGGGAGCTTTTCKTGGTTGTTCTCTGCAAAAGCTTTTGATCTCCAGGAATTGCTCACACAGGAGACACATGGACAAGAAGCTCCAGGTGCCAGCAGGCAAATAAACCTTACAGGCACCTGGTGAACTGCTAAAGCACAGAACTGAGCAATGGCAGGGCTGAGGGACAGCCCCCAGCAGCTGCAAATGAAAGTAGATGCTCTATTTTTTTTGTTACATTTAAGAATTCTTTGGAAAGATGAAGACTCTGCCTACTCTCAAGATTTTTAGAGAGGAAGGTTTTGTTCATTCTGTAATAACTAAAATTTATGTGACACAAGCTTAAATCTAGAACTGTAGATTTAATTCGCTTGTGTTAAAAAAAATAACCTGGACAATACAAATAACAGCTTAAGTAAGTAACCCAAGTTTTATGTTTTCTCTCATACACAAATATGACTTTACAAGTTCTCCCAAGCTGGATTCAACTATGGGTATGTCTGAGGTATATATTTTCAAAAAAAATATAGGCAACATATAGCTATTATGCAGTCCGTCCTCTACCACAGTCTCAGAAGCTTCTTTTGAATATCAATGAACTTTAGATCAGATATTTTCACTACCATTTACACTAACATGGTATTTAATTTACTTTTAAAGCATTTTTTGGTCCATAAATACCAATTTTGAACAGGATACACTATAAGGATAGCATTGGCCAGTGGCCATAAATCTGCTGTTAATAAGAAATTTCTTGCAASAGGCCCATTTTAATGGCTCTTCTTAAACAGCAGAAAAAAAATTCAGCTTACAGATATGCCTGAAAATAAAGCTGCTGCATCAGACACACAATGCACCGAATCATCTGTTTGGCAAATGCCAGATTTGCTGTTTCAGAGGACACTGGTGCAGGTGTGCACAGCTGAGGCAGCACAGGTCACCTCCCACGTTTAACACTGCCTATGTAAAACCCAACAAAGCCCTTCTCCTTTCACTGCCGGGAAGCACAGCAAGTGCCAGCCAGCCAGGACCCCTGCAAGGCCAGGAGAAAGCTGTCCCAGGGGTGTGCAGCCTCTTGCTGGTGCCACCCAGCAGCAGAAGTCCTTGCTGGTGAGAAATTCTAATTACAGATCCAAGTCTGCCTGGCAATTCTTCATTGAACACCATGCCTGCCACTGGCAATTCAGCTGTGGGGTAAAATTCACAGTCATCTCTTAATTTAGCTACATTAGGATTTTCCCCTCTGATTCCTTGGCAGAACTCTGAGGAATTATGAGAAGGTTCAAAAGACAGAACGCCAGGGTTCTCCAAGTGATTAATTTCCTGACTGCTTTGAACCGTATTTCACAGAATCACAGAATTCTCTTGGATCAGCTGCCTTTTGGTGTTTTAAATTATCTAAAGTATTCTCTAATCGTCATTTGGATAGAGAAAATCACCAGCTGAACACAGGGATGGCCTGTCAGATATGACAGGATTCAGAAAGTGACTGCYGCCTTCGGTGCCAGCAAAATAAAGCATTTCCCCTCACAAATGCTGCAGACCCTCTGCACTGAACACTTAAAGCAGAGCCTGGTCCTGTATTTATATTTGAAGAACTTAACATCACAAACTACCAGTAATTTTTTTTTTCCAGGGCTGTGCTGCACTTCTTTGAACAGATTATTAAAGCAATAGCAGAAGACATTACTGCTGCCTCCTTCACTTGTTACACAGACACAGTGAACACTCAGCACCGGAGAGATGTACCCTCCTTCACATCTTGGAAAAAAAGAGGAACAGTACAACCAACCACAGGCACAGCACAGGCTGGTGCCAGCCTGGGCAGGAGGAGAGGAGAGAACTGTACTTAATGCAGCTCCCCTGGCCTAAGCCATGCCTGCAAGTGATAATGCAAAAATTCAATGAAAGGCAAGAACAGGAGGAGGACAAAAGATCCAACAAACCCTCAAAATACCTGAAAKGAGTAATGATAACTGACAGTGAGTATCTGTAGTAGAAGAGCAACAAACTGATCATCTCAGCAAAATGATACGGCAAAAGGAAACCAGAGTTAAGTAAGAATATGCTGTAAGTTAGAACAGTCACAGCTGCACAACTCTGAAGTGACAACAGTCACACACTGCCCGACCAACAACTGCTTTGGTTAAGTTTTGGACAGGAAATTAACACAACTTTTAACTGTGACAGGCCAGACAACAATGAAACATTCTCTTGTTCTAGTCTTTTCAGGCACTTGTGAGTGATCACCGAGGCACCCTGTACCTGGGGAACCCACCTTTGCAGTGCCCTCTCCCCTGGGTGCACCTTCCCAGCAGAGCGGTCCGAGGGACCCCACTTCTGCCAAACAGGGAAATGCTTTCCCGACTGCAGCGCTGCATGGAAACTCCTCCCKTTGGCATCCCGGCTCAGGTTCCCTCGGCACAGCCACCCCCCGACTGTCTGACACAGCCCATTAATGCAGGAATTTATAGTCGCCAGCTGGGGGCTTCTACAATTTCACATTGGAGACAAGAACCTCTTGTCACAGCAGTAACTGGGTGAAAATGGTGGTGTCTTTCACCACGGTGTCCTCACACTMGTGAATGCCGAGAGCTGGGGTCGGTGTGGGGTTGTGAAAAATGCGTAACAAATTCCTGTAAATAAACCACAGAGCCCACTCGATACCCTGGCACTGAACACGCTGCCTGGTAGCACTTTGATCTCCCCTCCTGACTGCTATTAAAAGCCTGCCCCAGCTGAGCCCTGGACACGAATGTACATGGGKAAATGGAAGAACACAGCCACACACGTTGCAGGGTCACATTATAGGGCACTTTGACACTGACCCTTTCAAACCAGCCCTCTCCCCTCCAGCAAGTAAAAGTAAAGGTGTGTTCAYACCTGTATGATTCTAAAACTATTTAAAGCTATTTATTCATAAGAATCTGAGAGCCCAGATTTCTCTGACTGCAAAGTCAGAGCTGGGCTCTTCCCCCTGGCAGCCCCTTGGGCACACACCCAGCTGGCCCTGCTCAAAGCCACGTGGCAGCTGCAGCCCTGGGCTTCTCCACTGCCCAATCCCTGGAGCTTTTTTGGGAGTTAAACTCATCCAACAATAATTCCAAGCCGTCTGTAAGGACASAGCACAGCCCTGCCCGTGTGGGTTTATCACCTTTTTTTGCAAATCCTTCACAGTTTATAAAGGCTGCTTTCACTGCCCAGGGTGCTGCTGCTCCAGGGTGGGTGTTCAAGSTAACGACTCACAGCTCACATTTGTAGTCAGGGGCCCCGACCAGTGTGTACATTAAAAAGATTGTATTACCCAAGTAATTATTATTTCACTCCAAAGATGAACATGAATTTATTGCTCTGGTGTCTCACATTTCTCTTATCGACCATGGAAAATGTTTCTACAGACAAAATTACAAAATACTGAACTTAAAGCCAAAGTCGGTGTTATTTATCATTTGATAAAGATGTAAGGCACTTCCAACTAAGATGAAATTTCATGCTAACTCCATTACTAYGTGCAAAAATCCCTAAAAAAGGCCAAAACAAACAATCAAACCCACATATTACTGTCAGGCAATTAAATAAAAATCACTTTCTGGCACTTAATTTGCCTTAGTGTATTATTTTTTCCCCATAAGGGTTTAGTAATGATGAAACACCTCAGATGGCCATAATCCYGGAGACACACAACTTTCTCTTTGTTCACAAAGCCAACGGTATCAGCACAAGTTTCCTTGGCCTTCTGTGCACAGAAATCCTTCACTCTCAATGTTTATTCAGCCCTTAAAAAACAGCAGTATAAATTCAGACTCAAGGACTACAGCAGGGTTTGTGTCTCCATCTCACCCCAGCTCCTCCTCCTTTGAGGAAAAAAAAAATCATAGAGGGCATCTGGAGGTCTGCATTTCTCACTCCTAATGAAAATAAACATTTTCACACATGGCCCAAAAGTCCCAGACACTTTCTACACCCAAAGCACAGTTTGAGTTCTTCACTAGAAAAAAGAGGTTTCATTAAGCATGATTTTTAGTTTGAAGTTTCCTCATCAATGTAACTTACTTTGCTTACTTATGCTGCTGCAAATCTGCTTTTCTCTTGTTTTACAGCCTTTTTGTCTTGTTTTTGCAAGTACCATGAATTTGTAATACCCTAAAAACAGGTCAGTGGTAGATCAGAAACTCTTAATCCCTGGATAAAGATTATTTTAAGATCCCTCTATGCCACATAGCAGTATGTTATCAGGGCTTTTGTTTGTTTGTTGTTTTTGTAATTGCACCAACATGACCAAATCATCCTTTCAGGATGGTCAAAGGTGAGAGGAAWAATTCATAACATCAAATAGTTCCAGAGATTAAAGTCTCACTGCTGTTCCAGAGACCCTATCTACAGCCATCCGCTTTCCACTACTGATTGCTTTGCCCAGTTTCCATCTCTAAATTTTCCTCCTCACCTAATCCAGTGCTCTCTGTGTGTCTCACCCYGGGATATTAATTTGCATTTTATCACCAGATCAACAGTGTATCTGTTAATTCAGTCTGACACAGGAGACAAACACCTCCCTAACTATRTTTATCCTACGTCTTTTTTACACTTTTTAAACACCAGTAGCTGTAACGCTTATGCTCCTTGTGGTTGCTGCCTAATTAATTAATGCAAATATAACAGGTCCATTTGCATTTCCCCAGCCATTCCCACAGCTCTGTTCTGAAATCCCTTCAACTTGCCAACGTTCTGCCTGGCACAGGGTGTCTGAAGGCAGCKGCCCAGTTCACACACACCAGCCCCCACCACTGCAGCACTCATCACCCCTCGACACAGCTCAGCCTTACTGCTCCTCACCTTTCTCACCTCTAAGGACAGCAG